GAGAGAGGGAATCAACAAAAACTTCATAATTTTTACGGACTAATTGAAAGAGTAGAACTGTGTGGAATATGGGATGTTTTGTATACCACCCTAATGAGGACCCTGACTTTAATTTATTACAGCTTGGGAGAGATACCAGCTTGTTAACGGACGGTAAGAGATCAAAGAGAAATGCTGGAAGTCTGCCCAGAGCAAAAGCTAGATGCCAAAGAAAGATGGTGGAGAGGATTGTGCAGTAAGAATTAAGTTCTCGGAGTGGGGAGGGCGGGGAATGGCGGAAATAACGGATTGCAACAGGAAAGGAAAGACAAACATTAGAATATAGAAAGTTATAAGATATAAACCCCTCTGGCAAATTAACAGATATGGAACAGTTAAATACGAACGGAAGTCATTACATCAGTGGCTGTTAAGATAAAGGATTAACATTGGAACTGTATTATTTGGATTAAATAAGAATGGAAGTAGGAAGAAGGAATAACAACAGCATCTCTCCAAAATCAGAACATGGGAAGTCACCCAAACATGTTTAATTTGGAATGGAATAATTGGCTCATTTAATTGTATTATGATTTGGTATTTTATCAATGTGGCTCATATTGGATAATTATTAATGGAAAAATTAATAAAAATTATTATATTAAAAAAGAGAGGGGAACAGGAAGCTGAATCCAAGTCTCCAGTTTGGCAGCTTCAACATCACACACACACACACACACACACACACACACACGTTTAACATCTAGGAGCACAGTCACAGCAGGATAACAAGCCCTACAATGCAACCAGTACAACCCAGTAATCTAATTAAGCAGTTCATTGATAGGAGTGAGGCAGCAGTAAATCACACCAAGCAAGTTTGATTTTTATTAGCAAAATAGGATCTACACAGGAGTGCCAGACCTAAGGAGCACAGCAACCCATCTCCAATAGGTCTTTCGTCCCCGCAACTGTCTAGATCTCTTCCTCTCCAGTTCTCCCCCCCCCCAGCAGTCAGAGACTGAGCCTGCATCCCTGCCTTTACCCCTCCTGCTTCATGCCTCTCCTGGTTCGGGGAGGCCAGTGGAGTGGGAAGCTTGTCACAAGAGCTGGTACCTCCCACCATTCCTCTGCATCCAACCAGTCCATGTCATCCATTCAAAGGAGCATGGGCAAAAAAGCAGGTGAGGGGTAGTTACTATGGATCATCTCTTTTTTTGCTCTCTAAACCATCTTAGAGAACAAGCAAGGAAGAGGCGACATAGTAGAAGTTTATAAAATTATGCATGGAATAGAGAAAGCAGAGAAAGTTTTTCTCCCTCTCTCATAACACTAGAACTCGTGGGCACCCAGCGAAGCCGAATGTGGGAAGACACAGGACAGAAAAAAGCAGGGGAGGGTGGCGCTGTGGTCTAAACCACTGAGCCTAGGGCTTGATGATCGGAAGGTCGGCGGTTCAAATCCCTGCAATGGGGTGAGCTCCCGTTGCTCGGTCCCTGCTCCTGCCAACCTAGCAGTTCAAAAGCACAAAGTGCAAGCAGATAAATAGGGAAGGTAAACAGCATTTCCGTGCGCTGCTCTGGTTTGCCAGAAGCGGCTTAGTCATGCTGGCCACATGATCTGGAAAAACTGTCTGTGGACAAACGTCGGCTCCCTCAGCCAGTAAAGCAAGATGAGCGCTGCAAGCCCAGAGTCGTTTGCGACTGGACTTAGCTGTCAGGGGTCCTTTCCCTTTTATTTTAATGAAGGGGAGAGTGCTCTTGTGCTCAGATCCCGTTTGCAGGTTTTTCCCACGGGCGTCTGGTTGGCCACTGTGAGAACAGGATGTTGGACCAGAGGGGCCACTGGTCTGATCCACCATTTTGTAACGCCACATCTTCCCGGCTGGCACTCCTGTATGTTGCACTTATTTTCTCTGTCCGGGTCCTGAAGTGTTACCTGCAAATCCTTGGAGTAATTCACTTAGCCTGTGTGATATGGTATTTATAAACCTCTCTTGGAGTTGCTATGGTTTCCATTACATGCAGCCCATTTGGCATACGGCTCATTTCCTCTCACTTTCATCATCACAATGACTCCCGCCCACCCCCCTCACTCAGCTCTTGCATGCAATTGTCCGTTCAGGTATAATCGTTGCCACAGACTATACAAGCGCAGCCGCAGTTAAGAAAATGTTAGACACCCCCCCCAATAGGTAAGAGAAGGAACATTGGTGATGAGAAATAGAAAATTTCAGTAATTTCAGACAAACAAGTGACTCACGAAGGACTACACTTTGGCCTATTAAGTTACATAACCTAGAACTGATTTTGACTTCCTCCTAGCGAGAAGTAGTGATACTTTTTCATGCTTCTGTGTGGACAAGACAGAGACTTGGATGTAGTCCTGGCCCACATTTGAGGCAAGGTGCGGCAACCACCTCAGGCGGCAGGGACAGCCGCTTTCTCACCCGCCCCTGCTCCTGATGTAGATCTTCCCTGGTCCCATTTTTTCTTGGTGGGGAGCATTTTAGGGTCTGCCTCGGGTGCCAAAATGTCTTGGGCAAACCCTCACTTGGAAGGAGCCATACAGATCATCTCATCCAACTCCATCTGGTGCAGAAACAGAGGACCCCCAACCGGCCTCTGTTTGAAGAACTCCAGCAAGGGAGAGTTCACCACCCCTCTAAGTAATTAGTTCCATTAATAACAGAGTGCCTGCTGTCAGGTGTGCGTGCAGGAGCCAGGCCCTGTGACCAATAGGGCTTTGCAGGACTGGGGCCTTCCTAAGTTTGTTCTGAAGAGGCAAGGCGCAGCCTCACAGCTGAGGCCAATTGGTAACTCACAGCACCTGGTGGTAAAAGCTGGGAAGGGATACAAGGTCAGCATTTCCCTTTGGCTCTTTGCCACAGCAACACGCTCCCTGCCTTGCTGCGTTTGGCTTCTTGCTTCCTGATCCTTGCACCTCGGCTTCTTGACTCCCTGATTCTTGATCCTCAGACCCTTGACTCCTTGCTTCTTGATCCTCGGACCCCTGACTTCGTGCCTCCTAGCTCTCTGACCCTTGGACTCTTGGCTTCCTGACTCCTGGACCCCCGTTCCTGCTCCCACCCTGCCATCTTGCTCCCGGTCCTGACTTCCCCTGCCGGGACTTTGATCGCCCATGAACCAGACTATGACACCTGCTGAATCAGGCCCATCTAGTCCTGTTCTCACTGGGAACCCAGAAAGTGTGCTCTCCCCTCCTTTGGTGTCCAGCAACAAGAGTTCAGAAGGACTGCTTCCTCAAACAGTAGAGGCTTAACATATCCTTCCTGGCTAGTAGCCATCACAACCCTCCCCTCCATGAATTTATCCAATCCTTTAAAGCTATCCAAGTTGGTGGCTATCACTGCCTCGTGTGGAAGCAACTAACTATGCACTGCGTGAAGGAATTGTTTTATCTGTTGTGAAACTTCCAAAACTCAGCTTTGTTGCATGTCCACAAGTTCTAATGCTTGGGAGGGAAACAAACTTTTCTCTATCCACTTTCTCTATGCCGTGAACAATTTGATCATGGCACCTCTTACACGCCTTTTCTCTAAATTAAAACGCCCCAAACACAGCAACTTTTCATCACAGGGGAGTCGCGCCATGGCCAAACTGCAGTTCCTACTCACATCATATATTTCAAGCACATGTCTTCCCCCCAAGAATCCTGAAAACTACAGTGTGTTAAGGATGCCAGGAATTGTAGTTTGGTGATGGGTAAGCTGCAGTTCACAATATATATATTTTTTGGGGGGGGGAGAGTAATGTATTTTGTATGTATGGTGTGAATGTGACCAGTCAACAAGTGTGCCCTCCCCCCAAAAATCCTGCATTGCAGGGGGGTTGGACTAGATGACCCTTGGGGTCCCTTCCAAATCTACAAAAGCAGTACCCTCCCAAGCCTGGGCTGTGTGTATGGAGGTCCTGGGCTGCCCAGATGACAAAACCCTCCTCTTGGCCTTGCTGATGTGGTCCAAAGGAAAGCAGAGCAAGATATCTGACACCAGCTCAGCTGCAGGAACAGCCAGGAGGAGGTGTACAAGGCATCATCTGACCATCTTAAGAGACTCCACTCCAAATTTGTGTAGTGTTTACTTCTTAGCCTTTTCTTCTCCCAAAGATATTTGGCAAGGCAGCAGAAGTTTAGGATCAGAGTTTTCCTTCTCCTAGATGGGCTACCTTCCCAAGTTGATAAGACTCATCTGCCCCTCACTTCCCTCTACTGCCTTCTTGACCACTGAACCGACTGGTCTCATCCGCTCAATCCACCAGAGCCTGTCTTTGCATGCAGGGGAAGTTCCTAACTCACCGAGGTTTTGAGACCCATCAGATACCCTCACCTGGTTTAGCCAGCCAATTGAAGCTGTTTCTCAGGGTGTGACCACTGTCGCATGTTGACAGCTTCCAGGAGCCACAGGTGAGAGCTGAGTGCAGGATGGAGACCAAAGGCCGACAAACTAGCCCAGGAGGAGCATGACATGTCCCCCACCAGAGGTACTACCCCTCCCATAACACCCCATACACACACCCCTTTTAACTTATTCACAAATACATTCTATTAAACCTAGTCACAGATAGCCATATCTTTGCAATGTCCAACATATTCCATCCTATTTGTGCACACAAATTGACACCAGAATACAACAGGATCAAAACCATCCTGCATTTATATTCACCAAGTTCTGCCATTTCCAAAGTACACAAATTGCTACTGGCATGAATCAGACAGCTCCTACTGCGAGAGGGAAAGTGGTGGGTCCCAAGAGAGTGTTGCCTTTTCCATGACAGCCCTTTCATTCCTTAAGTACTTTGATGATGTTGCCAGCTACCTTCCCAAAGGGAGACAGCGAGAAGAACGACTGGAGATAATGCTGGCAAAACAGGGGGAAAGCTCCATGAGGTGTCGTGCTCCTCTTACGCTCCCAAAGCAGGAAATCCAACTCAGCCACACCAGGAACACAACAGAATATGTACACAGAGCACACAGCACCACATAAAAAGAAAAAAAGCGAGTCACCATTAGGACATTTATTATTATTTTCCCCAAAGTAGAGCTGCCTTTTGTTGGAGATGAACACAGTGCATCATTCACAGTCTTGACCCAATACATCATCTTCTATGTTAAAACAAAGTAAAGAAACGCAACACAACCTTTATAGCTGGCTGCATATGGTATGATGAGACTCTGCTACGTAAACACTCTTGCTTCTCTTATGGAACCAAGTCACATCTGTAGTTCTGGACATGTCTAGCAAGTGCTATGCTGACGAGGTGGCTATTACAACGAATAAGTAACAACGCAGGGAGCCCTTAGAAGGAAAAGCTCCCTGAGATGTTGTGTCAGTAACTTGGAGATCTAGGTGGAAACTAAACTAAGGCCGGGCCTAGACGGAAGTTTTTCTGATAGCTGATTTAGCACTGCAGTACTGAACTGGGGGAAAGACACCTCCAGGAAAAGACACCAGGTAATGCAATGTCTTGACCATTCTTTCTTTTTTACTGTGCCACCCACACAGCATAGAACATACTTGTCCTTGGTCTAACATGGCTGCTGGTGGCAAGACCAGTAGAGATCTATACAGGGAGTAGCTCTACTCCCAGGTGACTCACTGGTGTCAGAGAGCAATATCCAACTGAACAGTTCTGCCAGTGCAAGAACTCTTATCTACACCATAGAACTTCTCTGTGTGACCCCTAAATCTGTTCTGGGTTTTTTTCCTACCTTAATCTAGAGCAAATTTAGGAGATGTACAGGGATAAGGAATGGAGGGAAATTTCCAAGCACAGCAGAAATGCAAATTATTTTGGATGAGTTGCCAAATGAACAGGTGGCTTGGAAATGCCTATTGATCATTTCAAGATGTCTAAGACCGATTTACATGACATTCCTGTTTTGTTTTCTAAACTGGAAACCTTGCCTTAGGTTTAGGTGATTCATGTAACTCTGCTACAGCCAGATTCAATTGCAGTTCTGATCATAAACATTCATCTCCAAATACATAACTTTTGATAACGAGTTCCACACACTTACACCCAAAACAAGTTCAAGAAGTGAGCTATACATTATTTTTGAAGGGTCCCAAAGAACAAGCCACTGTTGTGTGCCTCTTTTCATGTCCGTGGACCCTTGGTAATATTATGCAGAGATAAGAACCAATTTGTCATATCTGAAAAAACAGCTGAAATATGCAAAAGTAAGTGTAAATGCTAGAAAGCACCAGAAATAAGGGTGGGGTGGGGGAGGAGGAGAGATTATTCCTGGATATCAAGGATGACGGCTCTATATCTTCAAGTTTAGTTTCCACAAGTGTTCCACCTTGGTATCTTATACTGCAAAGGTGCAAATGGCACTAACAAAGCCAATTAGAAAAAGGCTGGTCTAAAGCATGAAGAAGTGCAAGATGTACACTCATTTAACATGACCTACTCTGGAGAGTTAAGCCACTATAACCTCTGGAATTTATCTGCCCTTACCAGGCCGAAGCATATCAAGAAAACTTTGCTTACAGTGGTATACAATGAGAAATCAAAGACAGCAGTAGATCCAGCGAAATCCATAGATTGACACAAGTGTAAAACTGAAACAACAGCAATATTGGCCCTGAGATTTCAAACATCAAGGTTGTGATACAACATGATTTCTACGACGGGCTGTTCCACGCTTTAAGCAGCGATTGCATTCACTGCACTTCCCCTGGTGCCGGCTGCAGCGAACACAAGAGGAGAGAAAAGTACATGTGCATTTCTTCAGAGCTGGGAGCAAAAGATGGCAAAGAGCTGTAACTGGCCACACTGTATATTTTGGAGGTATGCACCTCCCTTTCACATTTTATATGATTATTAGTGTTCTAGCAAATACGGCTGTAGCCATGACAACGTGACTGCAGTGTAAAGTGATCTCGGTATTTTCAACTTAGATCATACTGATGAGCTCTCTAAACAGAGGGGGAGAGGCATAGAATAAAAATGCCAGTCCTACGTTCAAGGAATCAGGTTCTAACTAGACAGACAATATGACCCAACAACAAGAGTACAGAACAGTAAGTTTTGTCAACTTTTTCCTGCAGAGTCCTATATCTGATTGGCAGATAAAAGCCAGGAAAGACTAGAACGTGAAAATCAGGACACTGGGAACTAGTGTTAAAAAAAAGTGCAGACAACCAAAACCACATAGGATTCCCTTGCTACATTTACAGCTTTTAGTATTCATCCATGAAATACCATGATTTCATTGTGTATCATTTTATTTTGTTCCCTTTAAAGTGCAAAAAAAGTTTAAAAGGGTCCTTGTCCATAGGAAAAACTCAAGCCTTAAAATATTTCTAAGTCTTTGTAATATTTTATAACTGAAAAGCTAAAATCCTTTGTGAGATGATGTCTGTTAAGCAGATCCAAATTCTGACATCCACTTCTCATATTTCTCCAGGTCTGCCGCTGAAACAGACTTGGAGATTTTCTTCAGAGCCAGGTCAAAGTCTCCCTTGGTAACAGGCATCTGAAGCTCTTCTTTAGATAACGCACGGATCTCTTCTGGGGATAAGCCATTAATGCGCCGCCTCATTGCCATCAAAGAAGCATCCCTGCAAAGGAAAATTCGCAAGAACTAATTACTAACACCGTGTGCTAGGAACTATATGGATTTTGATTACCTCTCTTGTGTTGCAGGCCTCTAGCAGAAATGCAGAAGCATTTATTCTTAGCTATCTCAGCGTTCCCCTGTGGCGAAACAAGCTTGCACATCTCCAACACCCCCAACATTAACGTAACATAAAACAACACTTTGGAACGGAAATCCACTAAGGCATCTGGTAAATGTGCAGAGGATAATTAAAACGATAAAAAGGACCCACCCGCCCCTTTTTGCAAGGATTTATGGAGATGCTGAGGCAATTGTTCAGTTCATGAACTACTCTTTTGCATGTGCCAAATCTCCCAGCATCCAGCTTTACTGAATGTCCATGAGCGCTAGTGTTATGAGAGGGAGAAAACCTTTTCTCTACCGGCTTCCTCCATGCCATGTGTAATTTTATTAACTTCCATCATGTCACCTGTTACTTGTCTTTTCTCTAAACTAAAAAGCCCCCAATGCTGCAACCCTTACAGGGGAGTTGCTCCCAGGGGCAAAGGAAGGAGTCGTGACACCCGGGGCAGGCGTCACGATGTAGGGCGCATGTGTGGCATCGCTACGTACAACACATGCGCCGTACGTAGCGATGCCGCACATGCATTGTATAGCGGTTTGCCGCCAGCACTCCAGCGCCGTATGGACGGTGCCAGGATCCCTCTGGGGCCGCTACAGTCGCAAACGGAGGATCCCAGCACCATCCGTATGCCGCTGGCGGCTAACAGCTATACAGCGCATGTGCGGCGTCGCTACGTACAGCGCATATGCATGCGACGCTGCACATGCGTGCGACGCTGCACATGCGCTGTACTTAGCGGTTTGCTGCCAGTGCCAGGATCCTCTGCTCGCGGCTCCAGCCATGAATGGAGGAACCTCCAAAAGCGGCTGTGGTGGCGCGATAGCTGCTCGTGCCGCCACGAGCCCCCGCAGGGTGACTTCTTGTCACCCCCACAGGCATGGAACCCGGGGTTTACCGCCCCCCATTGTGACGCCACTGGTTGCTCCATTCCCTTGATCATTGGAAATACCCTGAGTTCTAGTGCGAGGAGAAACTTACATTCCTCAGACACCTATTAAGGGTCCTTCAATGAGAAGATCCATAGTGGCAAACAAGCTTCCCCTGCAATACATGTCTTTTCGGGTTATCAGTTCACAAGGAACAACAGTAAGACCTAAGAAACCTAATCTGCCTTCTGTGTGAACTGAGTGTATGGCCCGCCAAACGGTTCCAAGATCTTATGCAACACTCTGGGCTTCGTGCTGGTTCCTCAGCAAACTATTTGATGCAGAAAGGGTTTCCAGGGAAGGAGAATTTTAAAAGCACTGACGTAAAGGCAAAAGATTGAGTCGTCAGCAATGTACTCAAAAAAGCATTCAGTATGTGTAGTCTGCCTAGCAATTCCATTTTTCTTTAGCTTGCAAACCCAGGAAATAGGATACCTGCAAACATTAGTGATGTCAGCACCAGAGTAGCCTTCGATCTTCTCAGCAATTTCTTCCAGGCTGATGTCAGGATCCAGTTCTACTTCCCGAAGATTAATCTTAAGCAGCTCTGCTCGGCCTTTTGCTGCAAAAATAAAAGTTGTTTGATCAGAGCAGGGCTTGCAAACATGTAGATATTCAACACTTAACCCTGTAATTTAGTTTTATGGGGGGTGGGGATTACTAAGCAAAAGCAGCCCGGAAGCAATTTCACTGGTGACGACTCTTGAATGTTAAAGACACTGCCACTGTATTAACTGCAAAACGTGCATTTTAAAAGAGAATCAATTATATAATTTTAGTGAATTCTGTATGAAGCAGAGTGTGTGTGTACACACAGACAGAGAGAGAGCGAGAGAGTGCACAATTTCCAACAGCCATTTTGCCATTAACTATGAAAACATCCATAGATATGCATACATCCATAAACATGCACTCTCTACCCTATCCTACCCAAGTTTTTTCAGCAAACCTTGTATCAAGTGTCAACAATTTCTCAAAACCACCTTTTCTGTGCAGCCTTTGCTAATGCCTAGCTGAAACCAAACTTTAGCGTAGTTTGGGGGGAGTTGCTGGAGACTGAAGTTTTGTTGGGCCCTCTCCCCCACCCCCTGCTGACCCCCCTTCTTCCCCCAGGTATGAAAGGGCAAGGCCACCTAAGGCAGCACCTTGGCCCATGCCTTGACAACATGAAAGGTGTGATGCTAAGTGCAAACTTGGTGTTGCACTGAGCATCTCACAGGAGACCATGGAAGCACGTTGTTCTATTGGTCTACAAGACAACAGGACAATAAGAAGCTGTAGAAAGAGACAACTCAGCAGAAAACACCCTAAATGTTAGTCCTATTTAGCTAACAGCATTTGTTAAAGCAATCGGCATTAAATAAATTATTTAGTTAAGTTATTAAGTTACTATTAAACCAGGTTGATCCTTTTTCACTTTCTTTTTAGACAAACAGAAAAATAGGAAGGGAAGGATCATTTTAATTATGAGAAAAAGGAAGTGGTTACACAATGGGGGAAGCCAAGTGGAACGGATACACTCTAAATAAGGATGGGTGGATTCCTTCCCTCTCCCCTGTCAAACACACAGAGATCCCTCCTTTCCCTCTGTCCAATAGATTTTGTTGTATTATCTTCAGTTTCTGAATTTAACACCCTCCCTATTAAAGAGTGTTTGCCCCAGCTGCTGAGGAGGGACCCCTGAACAAGTTTTAGATAATGAAAATGATTGCCCTGGTGATATAAGTGACCCAGGGGTTTCAGTTGAACAATGTTTCTTTTTAATTTAATTTAATTAAGTACATGCATTGGCCTTTGCCCACATTCTTCTCTCCTTTCCCTTTCCCCTCGTTGTTAGTTTTCGAGTGCAAGCTCTTTCTGAGCAGAGAGATGCCCAATTTGCCTGTATGGTGCTGTAAGGCACAATGAACACTGATGGCATAGTATAAACATCAAAAATATAAAATACACAAGCTTCCCACCCATCACAATGTGCCTTTGGCAAGCTATACTGTACTGGTATAAAAACATTCCATGTACACATTGTAGCTGGGAGTTCTGTACTGTGTTGACAGTTAAAAATAGTGGTCTCAAAAAACACAGAATAATAACTGATCTTTTAATAAGATTCTGCATGCATGTCTCACCATGGGTAACTTTGCAGAGTACCTAAAACAGCAACAGTGGAAATTATTTTTCCATGTTTTTTCCAACACTAGTCTCTTCCAGATGACCTGTTTATTGAACATTCTTCATGATCTGTTTGCAAAAGGTGGGGATGCTATAAGATGTCAGATCAAGCCGTTGTTATCCTACACTTTTCAGTGCAATTTTTCATCAATTAGCTTCCTACAAAAAGTCTTATTTTTAAAAGTGTGTTCATTATGCAAGACAGCCAAACCCACTTTAACTGCACAACCTAAATTTGCTGGTGTGACTGAATCCCATTCACAAAATAGTGGCAATCTGGAAGGGGCACTGTATCCTTGTCTCTGCGGAGAAGAGAAGTAGACACACCTTAGCAAGGTGCCCATTCTGCACTGCACAGATAGAAGCCAGAACCAATAACGTGGTAGAACTTCAGATGAGGTACTTCCCCCGCCCCGCCAACAGGGCTGAAAGCAATTATGGCTTCAAATGATTAAAACCATAAATGCAAACAAATGTCTGCCTTTCATCTTCTCTTTTGCATTAGCAATAAGTTTAGATCAATAACATGATAGAGATCTGCAAGGCAATTTAAATCATATGTAATACCCCAATCAGCCATAAAGTCAGGGCTCCCATTATAGGCTGGAACTATTAGTATTTCTTGAATGTGTGTAGTCAGTCTTTTCTCCAACGAGCTCAAGGTAGCATGCATGGTTCTCCCCCAACCATTGTCAGCTATTTTATCCTGACAACAGCCTTGGAAAGTAAAGTCGAGAGACTGACTGGTCCAAGCTCACCAGGTGAATTCATGGCTATGTGAAGATGTGAACCAGAGACTCCCTGATGACAGTCCAACACTCTAGACACCACACCACACATTACATACAACATGAAGTTGACACAGCAAAATTAAATCTCTAGGTTAAGCATTTCCCCTCTCCTCTGTAACCTTTTGGATCGCTTCTCATGTATCAAGACATCACACGGTGGTGCTTCTCCCATCCTACCAGCAGAAACCGAAGGTGTGGAGTAGGGAAACTCACACCAATGTCATCATGATATATTAAGTCAACCTCAACCTCACAAGGGGAGAGGGGAAGAATGTATGCTAGAGATGCTATTATTGCCAGCAGCCCCATGCTGTGCTCCAATATGTTGTTTCAACCCTTAAGAGTTTACAGCCACACTGTACTTCTATTCTGTTATATCGAGGGTCATGGAGGCAAGCAGGCATCCCAGTGTATGAAGAGAAGATGCCACTTTATAAAGCTAAAATGATAAAGGATCTTGAAATTAATAGCATATATGACTGACAGCCAAGGAGAAGCAATATACGATATGGCATCCTCAGGCAGGGGAACAATCAGCATGCTACGATCTGAACGGCTGGAAATCTAGTCGTAAAGGTCAGGCGAGAGTTGATTTACAGCAGCGCCAGCCTGAGAGTGAAAATTCATGGATCCGCTTCTCTGCAAGTGCATGGAAATGCACTGGCACTATTTCCTCAAAAGATGTCTGAAGGCGGCCTTTGATGCTCAATCAAGGACTGTTAAACATTCAAAATAAGTCCAAGCTCATTAGCATCTCTCTCACCGGGTCTGCAATGGAATACTGCAATACTTTCATTCTCCAATCTCAACCCTTAAGGGGAAAGGGAGTGAGGGAGAGAGCACTGGCAAGTTATTAGCTGCTGAAAATGCAAGCAAATGTTTGCAACCGAAGTGTCAAATGAATTCTTCAAATAACAAAATGTAAGAAAAGTGAATCTGGACAGAAAATATTATGGCCTTCCCACCTGTTGGCAATGGTATATAGATCCTTTTCTCCAGCCTCCTTCTCAAAGCTTCGTCAATGTCCCAGGGAAAATTTGTAGCAGCCAGCACCAGCACCATTCTCGAAGGGTCGTCGTTTTCCAGAGCCCCGCCTACTCCTACATCAACAAAAGACATAGCAGACAACAGGGTACCATTTGTATTATTTATTAGATTTTTCAGACATCCAAGAGCTGAGCTTATCCTATACTTCAAAGAAACAAAACCACCAAACAATTAAAATCACAGTTCCAATAAAGCTAGTTTATATAACACAGAGATCCTATAAAACTAGTGCAACAAAAGTTAAGCAGAGATTCCAGCTCAGAATACATTACACAGGGGAGCCATTAAATCCTCCTCAACTAAAGAACACCAGCCTAAAACCATGAAATGAAGAGGTTAAGGCCCCAAACTTTTTGGAGCCCAGGGGTGCACAGAGAAATCTAAGAACCGATTGTGGGCAGCACCATAACAGGTGACAGGGGGAGGGAGGACTTGCCAAGGCACAATATGATGAGTACAGAACAGAGGCGGTGTATAAGTCCCAATACCAAACCATGTTCAGTGGAACCTCAGTTTTTGAATGTAATTCGTTCTGGAAGACCATTTGACTTCCGAAACGTTCGAAAACTGAAAACTGTAGCCTCAATATAATAGGGAAACCCAAAATGGAAGCCGTGTGGCATGTTCGGCTTCCGAAAAGCGTTCAAAAACTGAAGCAGTTACTTCCAGGTTTTGGGCATTTGAAAGCCGAAACGTTAGTCAACGGAGACGTTTAACAACCGAGGTTCCACAGTATTTGCTTCCACAAAGCACAACAAAGTAACCCAGTCCACAGAAGGAAATTGATGATGCTCAGAAAAACACACCCAAACAGCATTGGAGGGTAAGTAAGCATTTAGATGGCCAGGAAATGGGATGGGCAGAAGGGTTTATTTCCCACAGCAACTCTTTGCCAGTTTTCAAAGTAGTGACAAAGGGCTGCTAATTACTATAAAACAAAACCAAAAAATGGTGATTATTAATCTCCCGTGTCTTGTATATTGTAATATATTATTTTTTATTCTTATATTTAATCATCTTTATTAAGTACCCTGGGAACAGTCTTAAGAACAGAAATTATATATATATAATTTGCCACTTAATTGGGAAAATGCATTTTAAGTGGTCTTTGTAAAGAAAAATGAGCATAAAACTTGAGTGATTATGCCATGCTCTTTGTTTGTATTACATTTACATTTCACATTTCATCTATGACAGAACTCCAAGCAGCTTTTGTGGTCCCCCAGGCAGACCCAGAACAGCTTAGCTTCAGCAAGGTGGCTGCATCATGTGTTCTTTGACCATGCCCAGCAAAAGGTGGACAGCATAAAACAAGAACATTTCAGGACATGTTGGTAAATATGCTGCTTTTTAACCAGCTGCACACGTTCTCCAAAACAAGCCTACAAACAATTTATAAAAAGGGAAGGGAAGCTCCAGTGCAGATATCAAACATTACCATCCATCTGAACAAGCAACTCAGATTTGACCCGACGGCTTGCCTCATGTTCATCAGAGGTGCCTCTGCGGCTACAAATGGAGTCTATTTCGTCAATGAAAATGGTTGTGGGTGCATAAAATCGGGCCTTAAAACAAAGAAAACATTTACTAAACACAACATTTCAGTTTTTGTGAGATTCCATCATATTCAAGATGTACCTTAAGTGATGTTCATTCATTTCATTGAGTCTACTCTGAGCAAAGCTTAGTTGACTATGCCCCTTTGACAAAGATGTGCTGTCTAGCTTACCTTACAACATCTGCCTTAGGAAGAGCATCTATGTATCTAATGCTAAATCAAAGCTGGTTTGGGATATTCTTTTAGAACCACTTGCATGATTGCAGAAAGGCAAATAATATATCTGACTAAATCACACAGATATAGAAAAATAAAGTTTTTGTCAATTTATCTCCAAAAACAAGAGGGGGAGGGAATCAACAAGAGGGGGAAATGTTAGGTTAGCAGTTTTCTTAACACTTTGTAGCTATAGACAGCAGGTGGCCAACATGGTGTCCTCCAAATGTTATAGGACCACTGGCCATGCTGAACAGGGCGAATGGGAGTTGGAGTCCCACAACATCTGGAGAACACCAAAGTAGATGCCCCTATTATAGACTATGAGGGCTCTGGCTTCAGTGGAGTAAATGAGCCCTCCCTAGCCACTGGCTCAGCTGGTAAGGTGCTATTGAATCTTTATTAATATTCCAGGTGCTTAGACACTTGCTTGTTTTTTAATTGTCAGCACAAAAGACATAGGGCTGCATTGTTGGTAGGAAAGTTTCAGCAGAGCAGATGTAGAGATCACTACTGTGGTGTTGGCCAACTGTTACGTCTGTGTGTGTGTGTGTGAGAGAGAGAGAGAGAGAGAGAGAGAGAAGGGGGGAATGGACATAAAAATGGTACATGTACAAAAAAAACCACTCAATTTTTCATTATTATTATTATTATTGCAAATCTCTTGAAAAAATTAAAGTATTTTAGCACCTTATAAAACTTGAAAGATTTGGCCCTGTTTGTGTGTCTGCAACGTAAGTTCTAGTTACTGTTGGAGTCATTTCTAAAATATTGCAAACCGTGAATCAGTCAGATGTGTGACATAGCTCTGACACAACGTTCTAAGGCGCAGAAGACAAAAACAATTTCCTTTTGTTATGGGGCTGTGGTGATTGAATCATTATATTTTACATAGGCATGTTAATCAACGAGCCTCTTTTGTAAAGCAGGTATCAAAGCAGTCTACCTCGCAAGAATTGTGTAAAGATGAGTAACATGCTGTTTAGAAAGCATTCTGCACATTACAAGTGCTACAGAAAATGAAAGGGGGAAATGCAAAAGATGAAATACAAAGAAGAAAACATTTTGAATAAGAAATAAAAAAAACTTCAGAAGGCAGAAAGTTAAAGAAATATCAGGCTTTGACTCTGATAAATGCAAAACATTAAAGAAAGCTGTGAAAGATTTCATACTACCTACGTAAACAACACACACATAATGAGTCATTTTGGAAAAAGATTCCATTAGTTTTAAAAGCTGGGGATATTACAGGCACTCTGTAGCACAATGTTGCTGGTTGGTATAACATGGTTGGCAAATGTGGCTGAGAAGCCTTACCCCAATTAGTAATGATAGTTCTAGGACTTCTGAGTACACCCATTGAAATCAATGGGCACAACAAACTTAGGTTCATTCATTTCAATGGGTTTGCTCTGAATAAAACTGAGTTGGATACTATCCAATGTGTTGGAGTGACTTAGATGCCCACTATACAACAAGAAACTGTGAGACTTGAGCATCAGTAATGCTTACCATTTCAAACAACAAGCGAACTAACTTTTCAGACTCGCCTCGATACTTCGATGTCAGAGTGGAGGAAGAAACGTTGAAGAAAGTCGTTCCACATTCTGTAGCGACAGCCTTTGCTAGCATGGTTTTACCAGTCCCGGGAGGGCCAACCATCAACACTCCCTAAAATTAAACGAGGGCAACTGAATAAGCACAAGCGGGTACAAGTGCACAACGGTGCAGAATAATAAAATTAAATGAACTTGTCTAAACACAGCCTAGCAATGTCAAAGCCAGTTGTGCTATTACGATAATCTGCGGCTGTTGATTCATAAAAACCGTAATTGATTTCATTAACGCAAAGCTGACTGCTACTTGACACCTGAAAATAACGGAAAATTAGAGAGTATCTCCTATAGTTCAACCCTTTTGTAGTTACTATTGTAGAAATATTGAGCTAAATTGAGCCTAGAAGTCTTGCCGCAGGATAAAATGATAAGACATGGGTTGTTGTTTTTAAAAATTGGAGGTATACTAAGATGGTGCACATCAGTTTACAATGAGCAAGCAGTATGCTAGTTGTGGTCCAAGCATCAGAGTCCCAGCAGATAAGTGCCTCTCAGCAAAACGCTCACCCTAGTGGGCTCTCCAGAGCAATACATTTTGAACCAGCACTGTTGGTTCTTGGCAGAGTGCCCAGGAAAGGAAGAGTTTGTAGGCACTAGTGAGAGACTGCGGAAGAGGGAATGAGAAAAATCTGCTCTTCCAACTTCCACAGGTTGAGTTTACCTGGAGGCTTTTCCCTTTCAGCAGCACAGATCAGAAAAGTGCCAAGATCCGGGCGCCAGCAGAATATATTTGGCTCTAATCTGTGGGAGGTGGTAACTTTCTAATCAGACCTTTGGCTGATTACATTATCTATCGCCTTTTAAATGTGTTTGTGAGAAGGGATTGTTTGTTTTTGTTGTTATGTATTTTGTGTTTTCCTTTTGTGTTTTTATTCTGTAAACTACCCTGTGACCTTCGGATGAAGGGCGGTATATAAATTTAATAAATAATGATAATAAACACCACTGTAGCACGTTCCCCTCCCCACACCAAATTTAGTTTGCCACTTTATGGAGAAAACACCTTGCACTGAAATTAATAGATGACTGTGTACAATGAACAACCCACCACAAACTCAGATTCAATACCACCTCACCCCATACAAACCAACCTGAACCCTGCAACCAGCATCTGAGGCCCTTCTTCATGTGCCTCCTCCGCAAGAGGTCTGAAGGGCAACAAGAACAGGCCTTTTTTGCTGTGCTTCCTCATTTGTGGAATGCTCTCCCCAGAGAGCAGGTGTAGGCAACCTAAGGCCTGTGGGGCAGATGTGGCTCAATTGCCTTCTCAATCCGGCCCACGGACGGTCCGGGAATCAGTGTGTTTTTACATGAGAAGAACGTGTCCTTTCATTTGAAATGCATCTCTGGGTTATTTGTGGGTCCTGCCTTGTGTTTTTACATGAGTAGAATGTGTCTTTTATTTAAAATGCATCTCTGGGTTATTTGTGGGGCATAGGAATTTGTTCTTTTTTCTTCTTCTTCTTCAAAATATAGTCTGGCCCACCACATGGTCTGAGGGACGGTGAAAAAGGTTGCTGACCCCTGCCAGAGAGGCTCGCCTGGCATCATATATATATATATATATATATATATAGGTGCCAGGCAAAATCTTTCCTCTATAACCAGGCTTTTGGCATTTAATTATCTGTGGCCTTTCAGAAGTGGGCAGGGTGTTTTTAATGTATTTCTTTTTCTTTTTGGTTTTAAAGTATCTCTGTGAGGTTTCTCAGTCTGTTTGGTTGGTTTTATGTTGCTTTGGGTTGCCCTGGTAAGATAAAGCAACTAACAAATTTAATTAATTAATTAATCAGGTGGCCTTTCTGCAATACAAAGGCCCTCCCTGCTTTAAAAATTAGGGCTTCATCAAGCACGCATGCAATATGAACTGGCTTCCTGAATATCCTGCATGCTGTCTCTCCTGCGTCCTGACCAGCAAAGCTCACAAGCACCCATCAGCATGGACACAATTTAGCTTCTGCTGAGTGTTCGGGGCAAAACAATGTTTCTTCTATAAATCCTATGCAGATGCAATTGCCCATGTAGTGGCCTGCTTTGGGCAATCATTCCACGGTTTATGAAGCCAGAAATAAGCATCAGGGCCAAGCGCTCCTCCCCTCAATCCCATCATGCATCAGCTTCTGGCTTGTATTAAGCCAGAGTTCCCCATTGCACTTGAACCAGGAAGTCTGGCTTAATGTTGGTTAATAAACCAGGAAAGTAAGTCAGGATCACATTATGGTTTATGAAGCCTGGAACCATCGTTCAAACCATCCAATATTTTCAAGCACTTCTGCAGGAAGATACTGCACACCTAAAGAAAATACAAGTCACCTCTTAGTGTGCAATGAAAGTTGAAAGGAATACAGTGGTACCTCGCGTTAAGAACTCAATTCATTCTGGAGGTCTGTTCTTAACCTGAAACTGTTCTTAACCTGAGGTACCACTTTAGCCAATGGGGCCTCCCGCTGCTGCTGCACCGCCACCATGCAATTTCTGTTCTTTCTTTCAATTTCCTGAGGTAAAGTTCTTAACCCAAGATACTATTTCTGAGTTAGCGGAGTCTGTAACCCGAGGTACCACTGTATATCAGCATAGTACAAAGTAAAAAGGAATATCCAAAGTGTTTCAACTGACAGACAGGAGCAGGGGGAATATAAGCCATTCTGATAAACTAGTAAGCGTCTGTGTTTCACAAACTCTGTCTTCAGGGACAGAGCTTATCTAACAGTAGAAATATCAACTTAAAAGTACTCTGAAAGAAGACAGATATTAAAGCTTGTTCACCTTTGGATGATGAGGACCCAGAGCTCTATTTTAAATATATATATCTCGAAGAGGTACTGGATAATAGTCTCAACTGCCACCATGTCCTTTCTTTCTAAAACCCTAACCCCACTTCACTTCTTCTTCACCCTACCCAAGTTAGCCTGAAGCTAAAAATTTGCCCCTACCTAACCCTGCCCTATGATTCTCAAGGTTTCACTATCCTGTCCTACCAAACTAATCCTTCATCTGCTGGGAAGATGGGGATTAGAAAGGTGGGAAGAATGTCAACCTTGTTCACATGCGGGTCCCCGCCCCCTTTTCACCCATTTACATTGTTGAACTGTTGACAACGTTCAGATCTTTTAAAGAGCCCCCGAAGGGCTCAGGAGCTAGAACTTGGCCACCACTGGGAAAGGCTGGGGTCTTACTGCAGAGGATTTTCACCATCAGAAATGCACAGCAATAATTTAAGGAGAGCAGCTGCCACCATGCTCTCTCATCAGACACTCTGCTGTTACTGCACATATTTCATTCCCCTGCAAACATAAGATCAGATTAAATTCTAACAAGAATTTCTTTTTTTCAGGGTAATAAAATTAGCCGAAATTAGAGTTGCACATCACAATAGACTTTATGCAATTAATATCTTACATAAAACACCACCAGAATAAAATAACCGGTTAAAAGCTATCCACTCTGCAAATTAAAAATTGCCTGCTCCTCAGAGTGGGGTGGAGATTACTTTGAAAGAATGGCATGGAGAAGACTTATAAAAACAAATCAACCGAAAATGCAATTATTCAAAATTGTTTTCCCCTCCCCGATTCTTTGGGCATAATGGACTCACTGTGTCTAGATTTTCCATTAACTCTCACTACCTCTATAGCCATTTAAAGACTCTCCTAATGTAGGCTCCAACGTACGTTTATGGGTAATTAAATCACAAGTGTTCATATTATATCTATACAGCTGGTATTTAAATGGCATTTCTGTGGCTGCAGACATTCTCCTGAAATCAAAGGTAAAAGCTGCAGAAGATAAAATGGTATTTTGTAATATCGTTAAATACTTGGTCATAGCAATAAAATGGGCTCTGATCCAGACACACAAAAATATATTTCGTTTTTGAAAAAAATTAAGTACTCTCTTTAGCAACAAAGGCGAAAAAGAAAACAAACACAGATAGATTAAAAAACCCACCAGAAAGTACAAAAGAACAAAAATGGGGCAGTATCTGATGAAGTGCTTTCACGAGTGCAAGAATTTCTGCTTGCACAATGGAACACTTCCTCCCCCTCTTCTTATTTAATAAATAAATAAGAGACCCTTTAGGGTATTTCCATGGTGGTTGTAGTAGTCATGAAGTCATAAACAACCCTAGATAAATTAAAGTGAAAGTGCTATGAGATCCAATCATGTTTTGACTCTTTAAACTCATACCTATATAGCAGGAGAAACTCTGCCCCACCCTGATGTCACCGCGCTACAACTCCAATCATTTCTGGCCATACCTGCTGTTGGCTGATGGGAATCTATCTTCATCTGGGGAGCCATGGATTCCCAATCTCTGCTTTATAGGAACCCAGATGCTAATCTGCACTGTATTCCATTCCACACAGTTGGCCTATTTTTCAAAGCTCAGCAGTTGCACAAAGTGAATTTATGAAATGCCTTGCTATGTTTCTTTATGAGAATTAGATTCCAGCAATGAATAGCTAGTTAAAATCCTTTACACAAAACTTATCTTTCCGTTCTGGCTCAGTCAAATCTAGGAATTTTCCACATATGCTCAAGTGCGCTGCAAGGGGTGGGTGTTTTGATGGGAGCACAGCGGGGTCTGCCTTGCAGTTGTAACCATCGCTAGTTGAACAGTGGGAAGCACAACTGGCGCCTGCCCTTCTTAGCTCAAAGTACAGTTCAAAGGAAGCAAAACCGGAATCTCTCTGATGTCCACACAAATATATCTACCCATGCCTGTGCTCAGCTAGGAGGGGAGCTGTCTGTTTCATACAGAGGGCCTACTCTGGAAATAAAAACAGCTGTCCTGAGAATTGTTCTCGAGAGAGCCTGAGCACACAAGAGCTGGCTGGTTGCTATCCGAGTTATTACTCAGAATGACTGACACCAAATGCTGCTTATTTTGGCCAATAACGGTGAAAAATCACCCTCTTCTCACTCCATAATGCAAACAAAGGTCAAGAGGGGCTGGAGGAAAAAAACCACCATACTGGCTGTCTTGGAAGAACTGCTCCCTGTCTTGCAGGCCTTTCCCCACCTGGCCTGGGACAGCAGGGCCCTAAATGACTGAAGCTACAAAAGCTGAGGCTGCTGAACAGACAGTTGGGTTGCGGTGTTGTTCCAGGGGATGAGGTTGTTGTTGATGCTGTGGTTTTTTGTATCTTTGTTTTGGATCTTATGAGATACATGAAAATTGTTCCGTTTGGTTGTGTATTTTAAATGCTTCATTAATCGACTACTTTTGTTATGTTTCAGTTATGTATTTTTTTCATGTTGTAAGCCTTGAGCATGGTTTGAACTGTGGAAAGGTGGCATAGAAACAAAAGTATTCATGTATGTATGTATGGAGAGAGCGAGAGCGCATCATTCCATATTTTCCCCAGCATCTGTATTTATTGCTTAGCAAACATTCTGCACTTTTCAGTTTCCCAAACACCTGTTAGGTCCTTTGATCATGATATACATGGCAGAAGAAAGGTCTATCAGGATCTACAGGCTGCAATTTGCACATTGGTTTCTAATGTGTGATTGTTGATCAAAACAATAAGCTATATCTTAATATCCAAATTGAAAATGAGATCAGCAGAAATCCAGGAATATTTATATACCACCCTTGCCTTATGGTCACAGAGCAGCACACAGAAATTAAACAAGTACAACCCTAATTAAAATGACAACAACATAAAAAGCAACACATAAAATGGTACAATGGGGGAATATGTCTCAAAGTCTCTCCTTTTCCCTTTGTTACTATGTATTTGTATATATTTTTTCTTTATTGTAATTCTCTTTGAGACCTTCGGGTAACAAGTGACCAAAAAGTTAAATAAATAAACAAATCCATCCAAAACACCCCACCCTTCTCCAAAAGCTTGGCAGGGACAGATGCATCTTGACCCATCATCTAAAAGAATGGAGTGACTGAACCTGATCCACATAAAAAGAACTAAGCCTCAAATATCCCCAAAGTTTCAACTGCGTCCACAGTTGTGACTCCCAAATAAAATGAGGTCATCTGCCAGTGACAACAGCATCATCTCAAAACACACCCAATAACCAGATTAACTGTTTGTAAACCAATACAAATGATCAAACTTAACATGCAGCCCTGCAATTTTGGGCAGCCAATTATAGGAGGAAACGTCTAAATACACAATGCAGTATTATGCATATACACATCTTTTGTACTTACAACTGCACAGACATGATTACAATAGTTTGATGGTTCTCACCTTCCAAGGTCGCCTGATCCCCTTGAAAAAATCCGGCATCCACATTGGAAGAACAACTGCTTCCCTTAATAATTTTTTGGCTTCTTCCAAGTCTGCTATATCATCCCTGTGAAAGATCAACCGAGATTAGAAGATTCATGCACAATATATTCTGCTTCAAAAAAACTAACATCTTTCATTTATTTTAAAATAAGTAACAGTGTTTTCTTAAGCAGGATGCTAGTAAAAGCCAGCCTCCTGAAAATGGCTTTCTACATGAAAGACATGGGTGGGGGAGAATGACTTTCAACTAACCCTGCCACAAGATGTTGAATAATAAGAATAGTAATAATAAAGGCTCCCTGAAAGCATGATCACCAAGGAAACATTTTTAAATGTGAGAAAATGCTCAAGGGCATTTTAGTGAGTGCCTGTAATGAAGCTTTTGCTCATGGTTCTAAGAATGAAAATCTTGCTTTATGTCCTGAACAGTACACCATTAGCAAAAGAAGCTCTCTTAATAAAACAGAAACACAAATGAACCACTTCAACCAGGTGGGAGGTGAGGCTGTCAAGTCTGAAGAGGCTAGTTACATGTCTACTTACAATAGTGGACCAGGTGGTCCCAATAAAGGAGAAATATCCACTGTCTAAATCATGACACATGACTCTATGAGTCTATGAAATATATGAGATCCACTGAGTGACTGAGACAACTGTACCAGATGCCCCAAATATTTTAGACTTCCAACACTCTCCTTTAGTTCAATCTCAGGCTGAAATGGTAGCCTGGACCCAGCAAAAAAGGGAGGCTGCCAACAGTCCTGCAGGTTGGAGAGGATTAGGCTAGTACTGCTCTTTTGGGAGGGGGAAGGGATGGGGTGTGAAGTTGAACAAGTTCAGAGAGCCCTAACAGCAAGGAATATCACTGAACACCTTTCAGGAGGTAGGATCCTAAAAGAAACTGTAAGGCCCACACTATTTGGGCTGGGTAAGACAGCATCATGCAGGACCTCAGTTAAAGTTAGCTGAGAACTTTGGATCCTCTGTTTCTAGGTGGATTACATGCCCTGTCCATTACTGGCTATATGGCCATAGGTGGGGAAAGGGAGACTTCAGAAATTGTCTTTGCAGTCCCTCATCTTCTTTACTCTTGCAGCCACACACTATGCTGAGCTAAGCCTAGGTTCATGGGGTAAGCTCTCTTCTTACTAACCACAAGCCAAATGGAAGCAAAAAAGACCAAGGAGGCAAAAATCACCTGTGAGCTGCTTTCCAACAGCCAGACAAAGCTTGGATTACCATGTCATGTGAACCAGACTTGATGCCAATTTGAGCTTAGTTTGAGCCTTGGCTCACTGGAACTTAATTCTGAATATTGGGGATCATAACTATGAAATCAGTTTTTGCCTTGTACTTTTGGGGCAGGAACATGCCTTTGAATATATCCAGAGCACTCAATGTGTAGAGAATGGCTGTAGTGTAGGAAGAAAATGCACTCACAATACAAGTTGCAGAAAGGCAGCTGTGCATTCTGTTTTTGCAACTAAGCTCTAGTCCACCACAGCTTGTGCTGGTTTTTAAGGGGCCACAAGCCACTTTTCCTGTTTTTCCCTTGAGTTTTACTTACTATGCAGTAACCACCACCTCAGGATGAAGGTATCTGGTTTCTTGGGCAGATAAGAATTCTAGCATTTCTCACTTTACAAAGTAAGCACTGTACCAATGAATACTTAGATTCCTTGACACGATGTCTCTTTCGAGAGCTTCAACCAGATCTTTGTCATATCCTGCTCCATCAAACTTCTGAATTTCACCATCACCGGCACCATCCTGGGGGATCTTCTTTCCCTAGATCAAGATGTTGAAAGCTAATCAACTGAAAGTTAAAAGAATTCTACAGCTACGTTTCTTTTTCTTCTTTTGAGCTGTTCTCGGTGCCATACTCCCTTCATCATCATACCTCAACAAGACATGAAAGCAACAGACTAAAAAAAGCCCCCCCAACACACACACACACAGAGGGGGAGGGGGAGCACAAGCACATTTCAAGAAAATGCCAAGGGGGGGGGAGAGTTAAAAGCAGGTACATCAGATCAATATACATTGTGGGGGGAATTGGGATCACTAACTGAGAATTGCTAGCACTATGTCCCCTGCTTCCACTGTTTTGTTTCAAAGGGAATTATGAACACTGAAAATAGGGAAAGGTTGCATTTAATTAAAAGCAAGGGGCAAATTAAAAGGTTCTTGAAAACAACTTAGGATTTCCAGGGAAGTCCTAGAACTGGCAGCGGTGATGCAAGTTGGAAAGGATTTTGAGGGTGCTGTTTTCAGGGAGGAATGAGATTCTGAGCTCAGTTCCATCTAGGGTAGCTATGCTTCAGTTTTTGCATTTTGATTTTCAAATGTGCAAATCAGATAAATCCACCTTTAAATATGAACTGAATCAAATTTCATCCTCATCCCTACATGCCAACGATCTCTTCATTTTGTTTTTAAACCAACACAGTTCAGTGTTCCTATAAATACTTTAGGTTTATGAAGTTAATGAGACAGCAGCAGCTCCATACTGCACTACAAATAGTTCAGAAAGAACCTTTTAGCTGCCTTGCAAGTTTACAGTACCCAGCGATGCAGAAAAACGTCTGCAGGTTGGTTGTTTTTAGCCAAGCTAGACAGAATTAAGAAACAATTTGTTCTCTACATACTTCAAATCAAATCAGAAAGTGTCATTAGCTGCTTGGGATAAGCTGCTAATGAGAAAGAGAACAGATGCAGCAGGGGAATTGGGTGGCACAGGTAAGCAAGATGGCAGAGGAATAGGACGGTACGGAAGTGGTAATTTATGGGGTTCCCTTTGTAGCGATTTCTTCCCAAGTCCCTTTGGAAGCAGAATACTCCTGCCTGGTTCCTTCCCAAGCCCACTTTTTAAAAAAGAGTAAGCAGAGCTATTCATAAATCTCTAACTAACCTTTCCTTTTGCACAGAAAAGCAACATTGAAAATTTCATTTAAATCAGAAGATTGTAGCCAAAGGGTACAGAATCTCAGAAGGAAAGAAGACCGTTCAACTTGTGCAAGGCTGCCAACAGCTTTGTCCTCTGGGTGCTGGCTCCTTTGCACAAAGCCCACCGATCATCTGTGCCCTACAGCAGCTCAGCAGGCGGGAAACAATATACAGTAGTACAGTAACCCACAACAGTACTTCTTCATGCAGCTGCCCAGGCTATGCATCTTCACATTTTGTGCTCCATTTTGCAATATAAAGTATAAACTATTTCCTTTCTGCCACCTAGTGACCAGATTCTTTGCATTAAAAATCCCCGGCTGAGAGGTAAGCAGAACTGCTTTGTACAATAAAGGGTCCTTTGCACAATGCCACTGCTTTAGGATTACTATTCCCAGCAATAGCTGCATATCAGTGGAGGTTTAACCCATGTACAAGTTCTGTAATGCATCTCACCAGACCCCCCAGAATTCATCGTTTTGTGCTGGTTACAAGCAGTGCTTGGAGGGCGATATATAATCCTGGTGCATTACACGTTGCGGTGATATTAGGCCCCGCCCCTAGATATTCTGCAAACAACTCCTACATGACATCAATGTGATGTCAGATAAATTGCTCTGACTAGGGAAGGCACACTCAAAGGTCTTCTGACAACTGGAACCAGCCAGATGCTTACTGGGAAGTGGAAGAAAAGTGCTGTTCATTCTGGCCCTACCCTCAGCTTGGGGACCACACTTCCCAGCGGAAAGAGGGAGGGAACAACATGACTTCAAACTGTCTGAAAGCAACTAGACTGAGAAATTAACAGTTTGGCTGAGGACAAAAAACATATTGAGGATGGGCTACTGGAAAACACATTCCTGTTGCTTTAAAAATCAAGACCCACACCTGACTACAGCTAGACCAGGCACCCCCAAACTCGGCCCTCCAGATGTTTTGGGACTACAACTCCCATCATCCCTAGCTAACAGGACCAGTGGTCAGGGATGATGGGAGTTGTAGTCCCAAAACATCTGGAGGGCCGAGCTTGGGGATGCCTGAGCTAGACCTACACCCAAAGGGAGAAGGCTTTTCTTATCTCACGCAAAGTGAACACTGATGGGTTAACTCTAAGAGCCCTCAGCTGCAGGATCCCTTTGCCCCAAGGCATCTACCAATGTTTCCCAAACTTGGGTCCCCAGCTGCTGTTGGACTATAACTCCCATCATCCCTAGCTAGGAGGACCAGTGGTCAGGGATGATAGGAGTTGTAGTCAAACAACAGCTGGGGACCCGAGTTTGAGAAACACTGCAGGCAAAGGGTCTCTCTGTCCTATCTAGTTATCCTGTCCAAGAGCACTCGGGATGTGGCAAGGAGCCTCCCTGGATCCAGAGAATCCAGCAAATCTTGCTGGCAGCCACTGATAAGTAGTAGGAATAGGAGACACTGCGGGGAGAGCAGAGGGAGGAAGAAGAAGAATGAGTGGGAAAGCGGCAGCAAGGAAGATGAATGGGGAAATAATGCATGGGGGGGGTTGAGAAAGAACAAAGGCATGTGTGTATACTTCCATGTATGCAAATTAAGAGAGAAAGAGGATATGTATCTGCATTCTTATAAGAGAATGTAGGTGTATGAAAGAGAAAATGGGTGTGCATGAACATGTGGAGAGGGTGGACAAAAAGAAAAAGGAAATCTTCCTCCCCTCTTTGCCCTAGCTCTCCCCTAGTAGAATATAAAGGTTTTATGACGAGTGTCATCTTCCATATATGCAAATGACAGGTATGCATTTAACTTTCATGAAGCATTTTCATTTTACCATGTCTTTTTCCATTCTAACCATAACCTTTAATTTCACCTTGGCACTGTTGATCCATTCAGCATAAGAATCTCTCACACTGCTATTAATGGCTGCTTCATACACCGTCTTCCTATACAGAGGTCACTTCCATTTAAGCAAAAGCACGCACACATCATGTATGATTAACTACACCATTTATTCTATTCCATTTGTATACTTCTCCACCTTCAATGAGCCCAGAATGACATTCCTGGGGCTAGCCAATTTTATCCTCATAGCAATCCTAAGGGACAGATTGCTAGCCCAAAGTCCTGCAATTAACTCCATGGATGATAATGAATTGAAACTCATATTGCCCTACTGCAACTCTGATCCTCTACCTTCTATAACATCACACTGGAATTAGATCTGTGGGGAAACCATTTCCTACTATTTATATAAGTTTTGGAAAAACAGCTAATGACAACAACAATAAAGAACACTGCCATCATTGGCATAAAAGCAGAAATAGAGACAGGCACTTCCTACTTCTGCAAGCTGACCGCAAAGATATTATCAAAAATCTTAGTACAGAGAACATTGTGTGCATTCCTTTACACACCCTGTAAGCTAAAATGTGAATCTAAATTCCAGATGCTAAATCAAATTGTCACAAAGAACAATACTTTACAAAGTAAAGCTATCTACCATAGAATTTTTACAAACCTGAGACTGTGGCAGAGATACAATCTCCTAATCATATGAACAAAAGGCATTTCCCTCAACCTATAAAGGATGTACCAAAGTAAAACAGTTTGCTAATACAAAAATATTGTTCTGTATTTAGATAGCCTAAAAACCCTGCCTCTTTATAATTACCTTACATTCATTACAATTGAAGAAAATCATTATTGCTTTTCCTTCCTTGAGCCGATTTCACTTTATCTTTAAAGTCTTTCCAAAATAAAAATCTGTCAGGCTTTCATTTGCCACTGTTGGTGCAGAGCAAAACTTCCAATTTTATGCACAGTTGGTATTAAAATCCTCTGCTTGTACCCAGTAGTTTTAAAAAGCTGTAGCTTTTATCAGTATTTCCTGCCCAACCCAAAATTAGATTAATGTCAAGGTAATAATGAACTCAAGGACAAAACGTAAGAGATGCAGAGAACTGCTATCTGAGAATACGCTCCCTCCATGGACTACATTTGTATTATACAACTTAATAGTTTCAAAGTACTGTAATTTTTTAAATGCAGTTCTTTTGTGTTGACACAGCAAAACAGATTCACTGTTCATATCTTCTGCTCTTCTTTTTTGGGAGGAGTTCAGTCTTTCAGACATATTTTGGCTTGGGAAGCAAAGAATATAATACCAAACTTTTCAACATTCCAAATTTCATCGATTTAAAAATTGTATCTTGTATCAGCTGTTCAAAGGAGATGGTAACTCTCACAGTCTGTTCCTTTCTCTCTCTTAATATCTGAACCAGTTGTAAATATTGGGAGGGAAATTATATTTTTGTAAGTATGCATTCATTACACATTCATGCTTTCTTGCCAAAAGAAAATATACATTTTTTTCCACAAAAGAAAGGTACCTGCCAGCTGCCCCCTAAATTCTTACCTTTTCATCTTTTCCTTTTGCTCTAGATTCCCTTTCTCGGCTGCTGGCAGGTTTTTCATTTTTTGAGATTGGTTGAGCTCTGCCCACAGGTCCACGCTGCAATCCTGGCGATTCTCTCCTCAGAGGTTTCACTTCTCGATTGGGTCTTTTTATTTGAGGTGGGGCTCTGTCAAGCAAAGGAAATATGATGCAGCTAACATTGGAGAGAAACAAAATGCTTTACTACTGTGTTTTGCTACCCAATTCGGTGGGGAAAACCTGATGTTCAGATCATGCAAGTTGATCTGTGAGAAGCCAGTGGGTGGGTGGCCATGCTTTGGGGCAGAGAGTAGAATTAAAGTACCTTGTCATCCCTTCTACAGCTATGAAAATCATAATGGTTGTATTTCTGCCCCGGAAGCCAAATTAGACTCAACACGGGTCCCAATTTTGTTGTCGGGCATGGGAAAAGTAGAGGTATGGCTGCAAAGGAAAAACTGTGAGCCTTAAAGTACATTCCCAATTGTTACTTGGCAAGCAAGCCTTGCTGTCAGCCCCAATTAGCTGATCAGCACTGACAACATGCCACAGTGGGACTGGCTACACTATGGAGTTCCCAAGTGGGAACTCTGAAGCACAGCCAATCCCTACCCAAAGCAGGGCTCACTGTAAATCATAGTTTTTCTCTATGTTTATATGCTCAAACCATACTTAGGGTTATGAACAATGGTTTAACAGGCCACTGCTGTTTGCTGTGTTTTCTGAACCGATCCAGCAACACGTAAAGCTGAAGCCCCTACCAGAAAACAGTCTAAAGAAGCCAGAACAGGGAAAGAAGTAATACAAGGTTTGAAATAAACCTAATTTCTTAGTCACTATATGACATACACTCTCAAATATTAAGTACAGGTAATTAATCCACCAATAAAAACTGCAAACTTATTTTAAACCCAATTACCTGTGCTCAGCTGGAACAGGAGGTGGCCAAACAGTTGGATCCCTAAAATTTTCATCTTGATAAGATATAGGAATATCTGTAGGTTTGTCTATTTTAAAACTCTCTAAAGTGTTGACAATGCTCTTTACTTGTTCATATTCTTCCAATAGTTCTTGCCGAACCTTGAAAATAAGCAGAGTTTATTACACTGACTAAAGCATTCCTAGTTAAGTTAGAAAAGAATTAAGCTCATCATCAGGATAAGGCAGGAATGATATACTGCACAGCTGACAGTAGGCAGACTGCAGTCTATCTCTCCAACACCTATTTGCCCAATTTTCTGTATGAGATCGTATCATTTATTATTTTAAAAATGTGTTTATGATAACACCATTAAATTTATTACCTGCCCTTCATCAGCAAAACTCCTGATGGCACCTCCCAGTCATTTCATATAGATTTCAAATAGCATGGGGAACACCACAGGAAGGCTCCCATGGCTTCCCAGTAGCCTCCCAAAACTACTTTCTGGAAATAGCCCTGAAGGTAGGAAGAGAACCATTGAACTATAGAGTTTCCCCAACCCCACCTCCCTGAGCTGCTCCAGAAAGATAGAATGCATGGTCAATGGTTTTGGAAAGCCACCAATAGGTTAAAAAGAATGAACAGAGTCACACTCCCCCCATCTCTTTCCTGACAAATGTCAGGGCAACCAAGGCTCTTTCAGTGCCATGACCAGGCCTAAAGCCAGACTGAAATGGATCCAGATATTCAGTCTCAATCCAAGCATGCCTGAAGCTGGACCGCTGCCACCCTCTGGAGCACCTTGCCTGAAAAGAGGATATGAGTCGCTGGGTATTTCTCCAGTGAACCACTGATCACTTCCTGAAGCCACCCAATCAATAGCCTAACACTAGCTTTAAGAAGCCAAGATGGAAAAGTATTAAGAGGGCAGGTGGTCGGACACACTTCTTCAAGCAGCTTGTCTACAACCTCAGGACACAGTAATCAAAACTGATCCAGTACAGATGGAACAGACAGTGCACCGGAAACCTCCAATGAATTTGCTCTTATATCTATCAACAGCAAACATATGGCCTATTTCCGCTCCTGTTGCGATCAAAGGATGTGTGGCCTTTGAAACACTCAATTCCACACACACCTCAAACAAAATCAAAGCACCACACACAGAAAGCCAACAGTATGATTCCATGAGTTTAACAAATAAGAAAGACTTCAATGTCTCACACCACAAAAATCTTTAAACAGGTGTAATGGCATTGGGCAATATCCAAGGAAGTGACATTCAGTATAGACCCACTGAAATCACTGGAGTTTCTAGTTTTGGCAGGGAGAATTAACCTGCTGTATCAGAGAGATATTATTTTTCAAGCTCTGATTTTATCAAGGACACTTAACAGATACTTTCATGACTACACATTTGTAGGGCCAAAGTAACACGAAAAGTAGGCATTAATGGACCCAGCAGGCAGCAATGCCCATCATCAGTGCCCCTGGAAAGTGCTGATGGCCATTGCTGCTGACTGTATCCATGATTGCATGCCTTACAAGTTACATTTGTCCATATGTATGTATACAGAAGATTAGGACTGCTTGCATGTACAGCAAGATGGCATTTGTGAATGCACCCCTAAATTAAAAGTGCAAATTGTAATTTGCAGTCACAGAATCATGACAACATGTAGAAGAAATTAATGCTCTTATTAATGACAAGGCAATGAGCAACTGTCATAATGGACCCAACAAATATGAAGGCTACGTGAGTCAAAACAAAAATCTATTTTGAAATAGTGAGATGAAATCCTGCTAAGTTTTTTTTATTGTATGAAAAGAGGATTCATGTAAAATGCCAGTTTAAATAAAAAGACACAGTAACAATGAAATTATCCTTGTTCTAGTTTAGCACATCATACACAAGGGTGCAATTCTGCCCCCCTCCAAGAAAGCAATATTCTCTAACAGAATTGTGGTTGAAGATGTGACTTGTAGCCCAACTCTAAATATGTTTCCTCATACATAGTCTCACCAAGTTCAATGGCTCTTATTTGCTTTGTTCTTAATTTGAATTATCTGACACCGACCAAAAAGTAATTGTAGAAAATTAAACATCTCTGACATCAACACAAAACATATGCCACAAAATTTTTGATGGCACTGTATAGTGTCCAGACTAAGTTAATGCTTCTAGCAAATCAGGCTTATCTAAGCTTCCTGCACATTAAGTGATACAAGAAGAAGAAGAATAGCACCTACACTATCTTTACTAACGAGGGATCAAAACAAGACAAGAGGGTTAGGGGGTTAGGGGGAGAAGGATGGGAAAGGGAAAGTGGGGGCAGCAGAGGAAGTAGGAAGAGTTAACTATGCTTGTGAACAGGGGTGTTTCTTTGGAATACAATGATGAATATGCATTCAGAAAGAGAAGAGGCTGAATAAAATAATATTAATAAAAAGAAAACAGACGCCATTAGATATAAACACCATTGTTTAAGGGGAAAAAAACCCTAATCTGCAAATGTCAACTAAATGTTTATGAACTTCAATTTAGCAGAATTCATACATGACCGTCAATATGTTTAAAAACTGCTGAAAGATATTCCCATTTTCTTGTGGTCCAATTACTAGGTGTGGCTAACCTAGCCAGATCAACTAATGGATCTTAGGAAAAGAGTAAAATCATTTGTTAAGGTGGGGACTTTAATGTGACTGATAGCGAAGGGCATTCCACAGATGTTGCAGCCTGACCCCTCCTAATTTGTTGATGCTATGAAGTTTTGTATTGTTTATTTTAAAGTTTTCAATCTTTTTGTTCTATTTCCGGCCATCACATGAGCCACCAACAGCAGCGTATGTATTTCCCAATAAATAAAATATCTAGTCATGCAAGTATTGTTTTTTCATACCTGCTGCCATTTGCCCTTCAGTGCTGGGTCTCTGATGGATTGACAGTGTCTTTGAATTTGCTGGATGACACCCTGGTAATAAACCATGGAGGAGTCATAGTTTCCGAGAAGTGCATATTCCCTTCCTTTTTTAGCATTATCACAGATCTCGGCCAAATTCATTTTCTTCGAGAAACCTATAACGCAGCATGGAAACATAAAAATAAAATAATTACATGCTGTCTAACAAATCATTAAGTAGTAACCTGAGGTTATTCTCATGGACTGGATGAGACCAAAAAAACGGAGGTGTTGTTAGACCAGATGAGTGGGGCTCAGTCTGCTCTGAATACTGCTAAACCCCCCCTGAAGGAACTGGTGCATAGCTTGGGGGTACTTGTGAATCCATTATGTACTGTTGATCAAGGCACATACAACCTTTGTAGCATAGTGTGTCTTCCAACACCTATGACCCTATACAATCACACCTCGGGTTGAAGTAGCTTCAGGTTAAGCATTTTCGGGTTGCGCTCCGCGGCGACCCGGAAGTAACGGAGCGCATTACTTCCGGGTTTCGCCACTTGCGCAGACACTCAAAATGATGTCACGCACATGCGTGGAAGCGGCGAATCGCGATCCGCGCATGCGCACATTGTGTTCGTTTCAGGATGTGAACAGGGCTCCGGAACAGATCCCGTTCGCATCCAGAGGTACCACTGTATAGACAGAGATAACAGAACTTCTCTTGTCTATGCTGTGGTAGCTTCAGTGTTAGATTACAGAAACACATTACAGTGGTACCTCGGTTTAAGAACAGTCCAGTTTAAGAACAATTCAGTTTACAAACTCCGCAAAACCAGAAATAGTGTCCCGGTTTGAGAACTTTACCTTGGTCTAAGAATGGAACACAAACAGTGGAAGGGCACCGGTGGCGGGAGGCCTCATTAGGGAAAGCATGCTTCAGTTTAAGAAGAGCTTTGATTTAAGAATGGACTTCCAGAACAGATTAAGTTCGTAAACCGAGGTACCAATGTATACATGGATGGGTCTGCCTTTGAAGATGGCTCAGAAACTTCAGCTAGAACAGACTTCAGTAGCAAGATTGCGGAGGTCAGGAGTCCAATTCTTGCACAACTGCAGTGGCCATTGATCAGTTCTTAAGCTCAGTTCAAAGTCCTGTTTTGACCTTTAAAAGCTCTATATGGCTCAGGACTCCAATACCGCTCCTCATCTGAACCTATCTAGGCCTTGGTAGCTCTTCTCAACATGCTTTCTCAAACATGCAGAGATCCACAATATGTAAGCAAGCCTTCTCAGTGGTATCTCCCTGTTTGCAGCAAACTCTCCCAAGGGACTTATGCCCAGTGCCATCAGTGTTTGTGCTAGGTGCAAGGCTTAAACCAGACCTCATTAACTGGGAGGGTAGTGAGTTGTTTTTTGGCTTTTTCAGTGTTCATCCTTTAGTGAGGTGGGTAGAATTTGTCCTTCTATGAGGACTCTTGGATGAACACAATTATCTGCTTTTTTCTTTCTTTTCTTTCTTTTTTTTACAGTTTTAATGTATTTTATGCTGTAAGTCACTTTGGGACATTCTTCTGTGTGTGAAAAACAACAAATCTAAAAAACTGCAATTTAGGCCTATAATCTCAACTTTTACTGTTCTGCACAATTTATTGCTGGTTTGCTAACTATGGAGCCTCCAACCACCACCAGAAATCTTATCTTATTCAAGCTCTCTGATATATACATCTTGTGGTACACTTATTCCCAGCCATAATTCACATATTACCTTTAAAAATAAATTCACTGAAAAGATGTCATTTGTGAATAAGACCAAAATACATAGAGCAATGTTTTACACAATGAAGACCCAACAGCAGTATTCATGCATGTGAGGCCCAATAATGGCAAGGATATGGGTTTCTGCTACAAAAGTACTGCATCTCATCAATAAAAATAGTCTCCAACCCTCTGCTCATCCATACAGGAGCAGGTTTTTCAGATCTTTCAAAAAAAATCAACCCACACAACAAGCTGGCTCTATGTTGTTTTTTATTCATTCTAGTCCTCACAAAAGATGCCTTGCTGAATGACAGTTGCAAAGCAGTCAAAACATAGGCTACACTGCAGGTTCTGGCCAAGCAATGCTCTTTTGCTTCAATGTACAGAACTGCTGATTACTTGAAGCTGACCTCTTTCCACACAACAACCCAAACAAATTAATGCACTTGAGATACAGTAAAGCCCTCCAGGACACTTCTGAAAACATGGTTGAAGAGAAGGTGATGTCACCTAGTTATTTTTGGCACAAGGAAGACACAATTTGTTTATTAAATTTGTATACCGGCCTTCATCCAAAGATCACAGGGAGGTTCACAACAGAAAACTGCAAAATGAGGACACAAAATACATAATACATACTAAAACAGAAACAAACCAATAAAACAAAAACAAACCAATAAATCCAGGGAGGGTTTCTTGAGAAGTGGTTTTACCATTGCCTCTTTCAAGCAGGCAGGGACCACCTCCCAGGCCCAGCCAACTGTCCCCTCCTTTATCAGTCAAGATAGCAAGGGTCCAGAGCTCAAGTGGTCGCCCTGACTGATCCAAGCACCTTGTCCACATCCTTCAGCCTTCCAAATTGAAACTCATCCAACACAACAGGAATAGACAGTATTCTGGACACACCTTGAAGTTATGTTCTGGGGATCGTGCCTAAAACCAAAATCACATGTGGTCAAAACTCACTGGGTTCAATGGCAGATGGGATTGCCAAAATCATTTTTCCATAACTCTGCCCCCTTCTGCCTCTTTTTATTTATTTTTTAAAATTGTCATGTGTGGAAAGCTGAATGTGCACAACTAAAATGTGCCTAAGCTGCAGGCTTACTGTATCCTGCTAATAACAAACACAACAGGAAACCTGTCTTAAAAGTCAGGCCCACACATTTCTAAGTCTTAAGTATTTACAAATCAAGAGCACGAATCTCAAAAGGAATGCTGTCCATCTCCAAAAAGGCTCTATAAAACGTTCTTCAGTTTGAAATGAACACAAGACAACCTCTGCTATGTAAAGCAAACAGTCCCCATACCATTGGGGCACTGCTTGCAATGCTTTCCCAACTCATGTTGTTGGGGGACCCTCTGGAGCAATTTGAGGGGCACATGGAAAAGAGGAAAGGAAAGTCCTACTGCATTAGTGGAATGTCACTCATACAGCACAGGATATAATCAAAAATGTTTTTTCTTCAAACATTTTCCTGTTTTTTTCCTGCCTGAAGAACCTGGCTCTTTAAAACTGTAGCATTTTGGCTACTTACATTTATGCCAACAGCTTGCCCCCCCCCCCCACTTTTTACAGTTTTGTCATGATTTGCAAAAACTATAATTTGACCTATAAGTCACCTATTTGACCTATAAGTCACCTATAAGGTGACTCGGAAACTACAACTAATCCAGAATGCGGCAGCAAGACTGGTGACTGGGGGCGGCCGCCAAGACCACATAACACCGGTCTTGAAAGACCTACATTGGCTCCCAGTACGTTTCCGAGCACAATTCAAAGTGCTGGTGCTGACCTTTAAAGCCCTAAACGGCCTCGGCCCAGTATACCTGGAGGAGCGTCTCCACCCCCATCGTTCTGCCCGGACGCTGAGGTCCAGCGCCGAGGCTTCTGGCAGTTCCCTCATTGCAAGAAGCAAAGCTACAGGGAACCAGGCAGAGGGCCTTCTCGGTAGTGGCGCCCGCCCTGTGGAATGCCCTCCCACGAGATGTCAAAGCGATAAACAACTATCTGACATTCAGAAGACATCTTAAGGCACCCCTGTTGAGGGAAGTTTTTAACGTGTGATATTTTAGTGTATTTTTTGTTTCTATGGAAGCCGCCCAGAGTGGCTGGGGAGGCCCAGCCAGATGGGCGGGGTATAAATAATAAATTATTATTATTATTATTATTATTATTATTATTATTTGACTCCTGTATTAGTCCATCACAAAATCCCAGGTAGCTTTTGAGTCTCCTTCATTTATGTATCATGCATAAGAGAGTTCATATATGCATGTCAAAAAGCTGCTGCTCCTGCCCAAGGTTTAGAAATCTTATACTAGATAAGATAAGGAGGTCACAAAAGATATTAACCTTCACTCTTAACAGCATAAGCTGAGCTGATCCCTAACCAAGATTAGAAAGAAAGTTCTCTCTATGGGTTATAAAGAAGACACCAATGATCTAATACATTCTGAAAGGCTTTTCCTTTTTTGAATCACCTGCATACAAGTTTGTTTCAAATTTAATTACATTTCAGAGAGTGTCCCAACATTTTTGCAGACTCTGTTTTCTGCCATTCCAGCAAATACTATGCTCTACTAGACCCGTTTCTTCAGTTTGCCTTTGCTCCACAATACAGATGCACATAGAATCATAGAATCATAGAGTTGGAAGAGACCACAAGGGCCATCGAGTCCAACCCCCTGCCAAGCAGGAAACACCATCAGAGCACTCCTGACATATGGTTGTCAAGCCTCTGCTTAAAGACCTCCAAAGAAGGAGACTCCACCACACTCCTTGGCAGCAAATTCCACTGTCAAACAGCTCTTACTGTCAGGAAGTTCTTCCTAATGTTTAGGTGGAATCTTCTTTCTTGTAGTTTGGATCCATTGCTCCGTGTCCGCTTCTCTGGAGCAGCAGAAAACAACCTTTCTCCCTCCTCTATGTGACATCCTTTTATATATTTGAACATGGCTATCATATCACCCCTTAACCTCCTCTTCTCCAGGCTAAACATGCCCAGCTCCCTTAGCCGTTCCTCATAAGGCATCGTTTCCAGGCCTTTGACCATTTTGGTTGCCCTCCTCTGGACACGTTCCAGTTTGTCAGTGTCCTTCTTGAACTGTGGTGCCCAGAACTGGACACAGTACTCCAGGTGAGGTCTGACCAGAGCAGAATACAGTGGCACTATTACTTCCCTTCATCTAGATGCTATACTCCTATTGATGCAGCCCAGAATTGCATTGGCTTTTTTAGCTGCCGCGTCACACTGTTGGCTCATGTCAAGTTTGTGGTCAACCAAGACTCCTAGATCCTTTTCACATGTACTGCTCTCAAGCCAGGTGTCACCCATCTTGTATTTGTGCCTCTCATTTTTTTGCCCAAGTGCAATACTTTACATTTCTCCCTGTTAAAATTCATCTTGTTTGTTTTGGCCCAGTTCTCTAATCTGTCAAGGTCGTTTTGAAGTGTGATCCTGTCCTCTGGGGTGTTAGCCACCCCTCCCAGTTTGGTGTCATCTGCAAATTTGATCAGGATGCCCTTGAGTCCATCATCCAAGTCGTTGATAAAGATGTTGAATAAGACCGGGCCCAAGACAGAACCCTGTGGCATGCTAATAAGCACGGGTGTTGTTAGGGAGTGACTCAGGGGGGTCTAAGGCTGAATCCCAGATCTGCCCCTTTTCTCTTTTTAACTACCTATAGAGCAGCTGGAAGTGATCTTCCAGGTTAGGTATTAAATTATCCCTACATGCTGCCCTGAACAATATTTTGGCAGCAGCATTCCCCACTGTGACTTCTGGGTTGTTCTTAAGGGCAGCCATACATACAGTGCATTACAGTAATCCAAACATGAGATTAACAGAGGATGTGTCATTCTGGCCTGGTTCTCTCCAACCAGGAATGGTCAGAGCTGATGAATCAGCCAGAGCTGGAAAAGGGCACTCTGTGCCACTGAGGCTACCTGTGCCTCAAGTAACAATGCTGGGTACAGAAACAGCCCCAGGCTACACAATCGTATTTGGGGGAGGGGGTTGCAACCCTTTCCTGAACAGCCTACCTATGCAGCTTCTCAAATCAATACCCATTTGCCCATAGGACCTCAGTCTTGCCAGGATTCTGCATGTTTATTTGGCCACATCAAGCCCATTGATGCAGTCTTGTCTTCTGGGTCCTCCATGGAGACAGAGATAATAATATTTTTAAAGCGAACATGAAAGCATGCTGAGCACACCTTGCTAACTTGGATGCCACTCATAGCTGCTTCATGAGCATCACACAATGACTTTAGGCTGATTCTGTGAAATGCCTCTATCGGAAGGTACTGTGTTTGAAAGACTCCAAGTGTTCTACCTGTGGCATTCAACTGATGGTGGCAGTTTCAAACATGCAAAGCATCACATCCAGCTGAGAACCCACATCACTGTAACTGCAGAAGAACTCTGAAAGGGCACAGCTCTAGAAAAGGGTAAGATTGCAGTTAGCTTTCACCCAACTTAATGCTTCAAAATACTTCATCCAATACAGACCTGAACAGATTTTCTTTTAAAATGCCTAAAATGTTGCCATTAAAATCTTAAGTGTTTTAAGGAAATGAAGCTGAAATACAAAATGAATCCATTGCTACATCATGATTAGCATCATGTTTGACATCCTATGCCCTTTTAAAATGTGTTGCAGGGGTGGGTTGTTATTGGGTTCTTTTTGTTTTTATTTTGATTATGTATTTTGTGGTTTTATATTCTAATTTTATCTTGTGAACTGCCCTGAGACCTGCAGAGATAGGGCAGTACACTGGTACCTCTGGTTACATACTTAATTCGTTCCGGAGGTCCGTTCTTAACCTGAAACTGTTCTTAACCTGAAGCACTTTAGCTAATGGGGCCTCCCACTGCTGCTGCGCCACTGCCGCCGCGCGATTTCTGTTCTCATCCTGAAGCAAAATTCTTAACCTGAGGTACTATTTCTGGGTTAGCGGAGTCTGTAACCTGAAGCGTATGTAACCCGAGGTACCACTGTATTATTAATAATAAAGCCTGAAATGTTAAATTCATCCCATCACATTGTGAAGGGGGAGAGCAATCTCCACAATTAAAGCTGCAAGGAATTATCTGGTTTTATTGCCCTTTGCACTGAAACCTGTACAGGAGACATTACTGCAGAGCCCTAAGTACTGCCTCCTCTCTCTTTTGGTTTTGCAGCCATGGCAATATATCTCATTAATTTCCCAGCTCCTCCTTGTCGCGTAAACCTATAGCATCATGATCTAGCCGCCTAACGTTGCCACCCCAACCTTGGCTGAGAGCCCGAAATCTTAAGGCCTCCTACAGGCAGAAGAGGAGGGGAGGGGCCTCTCGACACCGTTATATGGGCGACGCCCCACATTGCGGTCGCTTCCCCACCACCTTCCCCTCCACATAACTGCCTTTCTCTCCCCCCCCCCCTCTAGCCGACCCTCAAAATGAAGCGGGAGCGGGGAGACTCACAGGCAAAAAAGAAGAGGCACGAAGCCCGAGACAAGAACTTCGCTGGGATTTGTAGTCCTTTTGTCAGCTTCGCGTCTCCTGGGGCTACCAGGCGAAGGCGAGACTACAACTCCCATCATGCCTCGCGAGGGAGTGAGAGGGAGGGGGGAGAAATAAAAAAATATTCCCCCCCCCGGACCCCTTTGGACTTGGCTTACCTGCGGAGGGACGCCTAACTACGAAACACGGCGGCTGGCGGCTGGCGGCGAGGGGGTTCGTTTCGCATCCTCCTGACTCTGGGCTGACGACCCGGTGAGAACGCGCGGGGCGGGGGGGGGGGGAGGATGGAAAGGCCGGCCTGAGAGAGAGAGAGAGCGCTCGCGCGTGTCTCTTCGCGCACGCGAGAGGGGAGAGGAGGGGGCTCAGCCCTCCGGCTCGTTGGTGCGAGCGCGCGGTAGCGGCGGCGATTGGTTACCATGGAGGCAGGGAGGGGAGGGGAAGGGCGCGCGCGCACGCGTGCGTGTGTGCATAGCTCCTGCCGCTCCTCCCCCTGCTGGAGGGAGACTTGAATCTTCGAGGTCGAACCAACGGGCGGTTTCTGCTGCCCCCTCCCCTCCCGAACCCAATAAACTTTCCCTCAGTTCAGAGTTTTCTGCTCACGTCAGCATTTTTTAAAAAAACATTCTATCTTTTAATCTATTCACCGAGATTGGGGGGGGAGTGTTACTATGCTGCCCCCTTTCCCCCTTCAGGTGTCATTTTTCTTTTCTCTTTAATTGCAAGCAAGGTTGGTTGATGTACAGTATAACGATCATGGCTACAAAGTGTAATAATATAATAGTGTTATACAGTGGTACCTCGGGTTACATACGCTTCAGGTTACAGCCTCCGCTAACCCAGAAATAGTGCTTCAGGTTAAATCATTCTCTGGTGGCACGGGGGCTGCGGGAGGCCCCATTAGCTAAAGTGGTACCTCAGTTTAAGAACAGTTTCAGGTTAAGAACAGACCTCCGGAACGAATTAAGTAACCCGAGGTACGTGTGTGTGTGTGTGTGTGTGTGTGTACACACACACACACACATAAATAAATAAATAAATAAAATAAAATAGGCATTCAGGCTTGTAGCCAGACAGTCATGCCACTGAATTCAATGGGAATTAAGGTAGTCATGGCTACCTTGTTCCCTTAGTGTCAATGGGTCAGCTATGGGTCTGGATGCAGCCCTACCTCTTCTAAATAATCCACCTTTTATCCCACCAAGGTCCTTAATGTAGTCATGGGAAAACGGTAACTGCTTTGATTTTTTCCCCTACAATCAAGTGGTATATAAATTTTATGAAGAAAAGAAATACAAATAAAATCATATTGAGCTTTTACCAAGTCTCTGACTATATAGTAAGATGTGTTCTATTAAACTTTACCAGTCATGGTAAAATTAAATTGTGGACACGGTACCTATCTTTATTTCCTCCATCATAAAACTGAAGTGTTATGTACATTATTAAAGCCGTATAGAGCAGTGTTTTTCAACCTTTTTTGGGCAAAGGCACACTTGTTTCATGAAAAAAATCACGAGGCACACCACCATTAGAAAATGTTAAAAAAATTAACTCTGTGCCTATATTGACTATATATAAAGTAATTCTCTTCAATAGGAATCAAATAAACACAAAGAAAGTATTTTATAATTACTTTATTATGAAATAGTAAGTAAACAGAAATATGAAAAATTATAAAATACTTTATTCAATGCGCAACCTGGGCCTGTTTGGCTGAACACAAAGCTGATATTCTGGCTGGAATCGAAGAAAGACACACACGTAGCTCTTCGTCAATAGCTCTCAGTCTCTCTCTGTATTTAGTTTTTGTAGCAATCATGCTTGAAAAGCTCATCTCACACAGATATGTAGTGGAAAATGGGAGCAATGTCAAAATAGCTTTGTTTGCCAGAAGGGGGAACTCCTTGGCAGTATCCAACCAAAAACTGTCCAAAGGTAGATCAGCAAATCTTAGCTTGAAACCACGATTTTGTCTCAGTTCAGTTAGTTCCTCCTGCTCCTGTAAAGTCATGTCCTTTCCACCAACTGATGCTGAGCTATAAGGGTCCCTAACACAGTCAAGGCATTCAGTGGAGACTGAAGAGAAATAAAATGACAACTTCTCCGGTCCTCCTGGTGACTCGAGTTGCGACGTCTTCTTCTCTCCGCTGCTGCGCACAGTGTGCTCGGGCGGGAAGGAAGTCGGAAGATTATGTCCTACTGTGATAGGTCCAGGCTGGAGTCTGGATCAATCACAGCCCGGACATCAGAAAAGTGGAGGGTGTCCCCCTGAGGAGCGCCAATCGGCGCCCCTGCTGGCCGAGGGTGGGGTCAAAAACCCCACCCCACCCCATACCCAGGACACAGTCCGGCGCCCGCCTAGTGGGGGAAAATTTGAATTTATTTTTTCTTTCGAATTTTTCAATTTTTCCCACGGCACACCAGGCAACATCTCGCGGCACACTAGTGTGCCGCGGAACAGAGGTTGAAAAACACTGGTATAGAGTCATCATTACCGTACAATGCTTTTTGATACAAAAAAAATGCATTTACCCTGCAGCCTCTGAGGATAAATCCCATTGAACTCACTGGGATTTTACTTCAGAGTAGACGGGCCTAGGATTGTGCTGTTAATTATTATAAATAAAATTAGCAGTAGTAATGAAAGAAAACAGCACAATACTAAACATATTTAAGCAGAAGCAGGGTGTTTTAAATACCTTCCTCCTGTTGCAGCCCTTTGAAATGGAGTAAATAAATAAAAAATACAACTAAATTTAACAAAATTGGCTCAGATCCAACTAAATTTAGTCATGTTTAAGTCTCTAGGTGGGTGGGTGACAAAACAGTTTTGTCACTACTAACATAAATCCTATCCGTTTCCACTTAAGTGCTGCTCACTGCTGTGTATGAAGAAACACTGATTTTCATTTTGAAGAGGAAAGAAAGCTGGTGTTTCTGTCTTCATTCATCATATCAGTTGCCTGCAAATCACAGCCTTGCATTGTGTGTGAAGGGAGCAACTGTACAAGGTGCTTTGGGGTTACTTAGAGAACTGCAGCTCCAATTTCAATAATAAGGCTTAACGGCAGCCTGAGAAGAATTTATTGTCCACAATGATAGTCTAAAGCCAAATCCACTCACTCCCGAGACTCTGCAAAGGCAGCAATTAGGCAGCATTTTATTGGGCTGCATGGAACACACGGAAGATGCTGTCAAACTAATCTCGAGAGTTTAGACAGAAAATTGGTTTCCTGGATAGAGAACATAAGAAATCTGGCAACCTGAAGATATTTAAAGAACTTAAAGCTCTCTGGAGAGAAGCTCACGTTATTGAGCTGGAGACAGCTGAACATCTGCAAAGAGGAGAAAAAAGGAGTTTTCAATGAACAGCACCAAAGTGCTCCATAATTTTGGTGCAGCATCTAAAACAGCAATGAAAACCTTAGCATTAATTTGCAGCCGTAACTTGCAGCTAAGGACTCAATTCAAGGCTCCAGGCCTAAAATGGCAATTTCCCAGGTAGGTATCAGATCAGCATTATTAGGCACTGGAAATGTCTAAAAAATGTAATAGCCATTATTCATTGCTGCACAGCACTCCTGAGGGTGTCATCTTCCAATGAAAGGCTGCCCCTTAAGGCCAAGTAAGATGTAATGCAAGCAATGCATTATTGGCTCTCTTGATAATTTCTTTAAATCTTAAAAGCCACTGTGGGTGGATATGGGAGAGAATGACTTGGCTCCATACCTCCCCGTCCCTCACCTCAGCTCAAAGCTGCTGTTGACTACACTCAGGGCTGAAGATACCGTTCTTTTGCATCTCTGAAGCACACACAGCACGTTCTTATATGCAAAGTGGTTGGGGTTTTTTGGGGGGGGGGAGGAGGGTTTGAGCAGATGGTCCTTCCTTGTTGGGAGCACTGATGAGCAAAATGTTACACAATAAACAGACATGGGTTGATAGATGAGCTGGCAAAAATCCTGTGGATTCCTATTTAGAAGTAAGCTCCGCTGAGTTTAGTGTCTGTCTTTTTCTCCTTAGTGAGTCTATTAGCAACTTCTGGGTATTTAACCCAGTCCTTAGAAAGGTTCTGTCCCAAGACAGGTCACAAATACATAAAGACTGCATATATACCATACATTTGAAGAACATTCCCCTCCCCCAAAGAAAAGAAACTTGGGAACTGTAGTTTTGCACCACCCCAGAGTTCCAATTCCCAGCATACATAGCAAACTACGGCTTACAGGATTCCTTGGGGAGGTGTGATTTAAATGTATGGTGTGTATGTAGCCAAAAGGTCACCAGGAGATCTGGTTGCAGCACATGTAGTTGGATTCTTAGGTACTATTTCCTAAAGTGGGGCTTCTCAACTCTCTACTTCCATTCAGTACACAGGCCCCTTTGTAAGGCAGAGAATAAAGCAAAATAAAGCCATGTGCATCAGGTACCTGTGTGGTGCATACCACCATCAGCTGGTGAAAAACAATGTTCAGTTTGGCCCACTCCCATGCAGCTATTGGCCCTGTTGGTGGAAAAATATGAACACACAAGTACCTGTAACTGTGTTTTTTCCCCCATTGATGGATGTCATAGCAGCTTTGTAATGGCACATAAGCAGGGTTAACATTCCCTTCTCCCAGTCTGCTTTGACATAAATTAAAATCCCTCTGAGGCTGGTTTTAAATGTTTTTGTTTTTTGTTTTTTGGTGTCACATCTGTTTCAGTCCTAAGCAACTTATCCGGAAGTATGTGGCAAATGCCACTCTGTTGGTTTATATTTATAAACAGTCTCTCCAAAAGTAGCTGCAATGATGTACTGTACAATAAAACAAAAACAAATAAAAGCAATGCAATAAAACATCCTCAGCAATGGAATATCTTAAGGTAAGAACACTATAAAGTTCATGTCAACAACATTGGCAACTATCTCTGTAGGAGTGGCAGAAGAAATCATATTTTACCAAAAACTTCATAAGTCTGTTGCTTGGCAAGCCTCTCTGTGGTGGGCATGCCAGACAGCACATTTTTCCATTTTCCCAATGTTTTCTTTAATTTCTGCTTTTTTAGTTTTCTTTCACACAACATAAAAGCCACTTCTGTTTTGACTAATGTACACATTTTTGCAAAAGAAAATTCCCAATATACGGTAATGCATTTTTGTCTGTTATTTTCACTAATATATTCCTTTTTATGCACTTTTATCTAATACATTGATTTTTGTACACATTGGTCAGCTGCTGAACTCCATCGCAACATTCAGATCGGTGTGAATCTGGAAGGCTGGCTGTGTTTCAGTTCTCCTACGGTTTCAGAAAGTGCTAATTTGATAAATTCAGCTATAAATGTGAACTGAATCAAATTCCTCCCCGATCCTTCGTCTCAGATGATAAGACTGAGAGGGGGGAAGCTGAGCAAGTGACTCTCACCACCTGCCTGAGTCTCTGCCACCACACTGCTTGAATTCCCACTCTTGCTTTGCTGGATCATTACAGCCATGAGGCATCACTACTGCACCACTGGAACCTCTGCCTGCCAGCTAGGCCATGGGGAGCTGCTGCTGGGCCCCTTTCTCATTTGACCGAAGGGCAGCAACTGCCCCACTTCCAGCAGAGGACTGGTCTGGTCAGCAGCCCTCCCACAGGTTCCTTCAAGTCCTGCCTGGCCAAGCCTCAGAAAACTCGGCCAAGTCTTTCACCACCGACTTGATGAAGCTATATTAGACTTGTGGATGCAGGTGGTGTGGAAGAACGAAGGAGGGGAGTGAGTCCCATCTCAGGCAGCAAAAACAGCTTTGCACTTTTGTACAAAAAGATACAAGAATTTAGGGCTGCTCATCCATGAGAGCTGGGTTTTAATGTTATTTGGTTTTTATTCATTTATTGTTTTCTATACTGATGTAAACACTATGCTGTTATGCAACTAAGTCTGTATATTCTGAAAACTGGAAGCCCATTAAAAAATAATTAAAAAGAAGAATTTAGGTATGCTCCACACGGCGCTAACTTGCACACTAGGATTTCTTATCACAGTCAGGAAACTCGAACAAATGGCTGAGTGGGAGAACGAGCTGATGGACAGGATTTGCGTTTTCCTGCTGTAAGGCTGCTGCTATGTTTGTGAAAACCCTCCTGCTCACAGAGTGTGGGGGCTGCCTTGTCCTTGCTTCTCTCTCCTCTCCCCCTCAATTTGTCAGTGTGGATTGTCAGCTGGTTCCCTCTGGGAGTGGAAAAAGGCAAAGAGTGTTTGCAAGAGAACAGATGGGCAGGAGACGAGGGGGATGGGCCTGCAAGCCTCTATGTATGAGAGGCAGCAGCTAATACGTCTGGGTCATTGAAAGAAAGAGGATGGCAATATGAGGCAACAGACTGAATAAACTAAACAAAAATGAAACATGAGGATTTCAGACAGCATGTTCTAAATGGGTAATCTGGCAACGCTGCCTAACATTCATCACCTCCTGGGCTCCGGCACATGCCTTGAAAGCAAGCGGCGTCCATCTGAAGTGTATTTTTTTTGTTTGCCTGATTTAGGACCTGATGGATTATTTTGGAACATTGAGGTATTAATAATAAAATGAGGACAACAAGCGAGTGGCTGATTTATACAAGTGCAGATGAGAGCAGAGTTGGGTTTTTATAGCCTACATTTTCCAGTATTGATTATGAATAACTTGGATTATGAATAACCGCAATTAAAGTTCTCTTTCCCCATTGAAAATCATACATGCTTTGTGGTGGACAGACACACACACAGACACAGAGTTACCCAAAGATAGGCTCTCACGGCACCTGTTTTCCCTTGCAGTGCAAAGAACAGTGGAATTTCTTATCACATTCTCCTGATGAGTCCATATGGCCATATGAGTCCAGTGAATGCACTCTCTGGGCCAAGAAAAGACATCAGCTGTTCTTGGTGATCAGTGGGTGGTCTCTGCTTTTCCCAGTGACAAAAGTGGATTGCATGCTTTGCTGGAACTCACATCATGTCATTTCAGAGCTCTGAGCTCAGAAACCTATGTGGATGTAGTGTTTCAGAGGTATGATACTCTGTTACTCTCTCTTCAAACTCAGTTTCCCTGCTGGTTTTTCGTAGCCACCCAAAATGATGTTATTTCTTTTAATGTCAGTAAACAGCTGTTTGTGCCAGTAGGTATTAATTAATTAACTAACTAATTAAGAAATAATGTGTTATGTTGAGCCACATATCCTTACCACCAGGGGGTCACCAAACGTTTGGGACCTGTGGGCATATCTGGAATTTTGAGATAGTGCCATAGGTAACAAATACAAAATGGCTGCCGGGGGGGTGGTACGTGTCTGTGGCATAACACAAAATGGCTGCCACATCTAAAAGAGCAGGAAAAGAGGCAGGACCACAAAATGGTGTTGACATGTTCCCCAAGCCCATCAGTGTGGGGAAAGGCACCTGCATCAGCCACTGCCACGCACACTCATGGAGAAATGCTCTTTGCCATTCTCCAAAATGAGTATGATTGTCCAGTCCTGGCATCCAAGAAATATGGACATATTTAAGGATGCATGTTCCATGTCAGGCCAAGCCAATGCAAACCTCTCATGTAGTGTGAATTTTTGAGAGGATGTTTACAGAGACCTTTTGTGGGTGCTATAAGAATTACTGGCAGACATATTGGTGCCTGTTGATGCCAAGCTGGCGATCTCCGCTTAACATGTCAAAGTGGACATTGTTCAGCAACAACGGAAGTGGAGGTTCATTCAGGACATGGAAAGAGCCATTCTCTCATCAGCCAGTCTCAGAAACCAATGGGAAATTGGTTGCAATCCCAAAAATGACTCATGATAATACAATAAATGCATCCTTACCCTAAATCTAATCACTTGGAAGTCACTTTGAAATAAATGGGACCAAGGGCCAAGTTAGATGTGAACTTACTGAATAATTCCTTAAAATAAAATAAAATATACCTACTGTGGAAATGTGAGCAACAGATTTCACGGGCATTTGAAGATACGCTTGTTGCTATTCCCTTGATTTCCTGACATTAGTTTTTTATTTTTGTATTAATTTAATGATGCTGTTTTATTGTGTATTTGAATTAAGGATATTTATATTTCAGTGGTTTGTGTAACTTGCTTTTTATACTTTGTAAATTGCTTAGAAGCTTATTTTGACATTTAAGTGGCATATAAAATAAGTAAATAATCTGGCTGGCCACTGTGAGAACAGGATATTGGACTAGATGGGCCCTTGGTCTAATGTAGCAGAGCTCTTCTTATGTCTCTTTATCCATTTGAGTTGCATTTATGCATTTCTCACATCTAGTTACTTTAGCCCTGGCTCCCATGTAAAAAGGGTAGGATAGGGTGTTAGTCGAATTTTTCAACCAAGTGTCATAGTCCAACGCCACCTAGTGACTTCAAGAAGACATACAATCTGTGAAGAATAAATTACCGTACACATAGCAAGTTGTGTAGAGATTCAAGTTGCAGCATGAGAAGATCTACTTTCTTTTCATACATAAGGGGTTACTCTGCTTCAGAGGTTCTTCATTACAGTGGATTTCTCTTTGACTGGCCTCTTGGAATCTCTCTTTCTCCCTCCCTTGTTCCACAACTTATCACATATTTGCAGCCCATACCACACACACAAAAGAGCTGTGAGGAAAATGAGGAAAATGTGCTATGGATGTGCCACATGAAGCAACAAGCTGGGGCACCTTCTCATGGGAAAATCTATTTTTGAATAGGTATGGAGCCTGCATCTTTGAATGATTGGCTGGCGTGCCTATTTGGAAATACTGCTGAGCAAATCTAAGCCATGATTTTAAACTGTCAGCTGCCTGGGTAATAAATAGAGGTTGTAAAAGAAGAGGCTACATAAAGGTTTAAAAGGGGCCATTTATGGGAAGCACATAGCTCAGTGGGAAAGCATCTACAGGGTTGGTTCCTCAGGACGGGCTTGGAATGTGCCGTTTGAAAACCTGACAATCAGCAAAGATAATATTAAGCTATGAGGTCCAATAGTCTGACTTGGTATAATTCAGCTTTCTATGTTCCTAGTTTGATATGGTTGCCCAAACAATCTTTTTACGTTTCTTTTCCGCTTGTGTTGTGTTAAATAGAAATCAACCAAGATATTTCAGGACGGAGAATCCTTAATGGTTCATTAAAAACATCTTTTTTATTCGACATGCTATTAAGTTTTTCTCCTATTTTAACTCAGCTGAACAGCCCACTAAACCTCCTGTTCTACAGATAAGCTTGTAGAGAGGCTTTATTGAGAAATGAATTGACTCTCCCCACTTTTAAAACATCTGATAGTTGAATGCTGTATTGTATTCTCAGTTGTTTTTAGGTTTTCCTCCCCATTGTATCTTCATTTTATTATTTCTATCTCTGCATGCATTTGTTTTGGTTACACTTATTACCGGTACTTCTACTGTTTTTTGTATGTATTTTTACACACACACACACACACACACACACACACACACACACACATATATATATATATATATAGACATAGCAACAATTTTCATCATATTGCATGTTCAGCTGTTTTGCTATTACTTTCTGCAAAATGCTTTTAATGGAGTCCTACATTACAGGCGCAACATCTCCAACATCCGACATTGTCTTTGGTAATAACATCCTTCTAGCCCCTTAAGGCAAACTGTACTTATTAAGCCAATTTTACTGCACTATACCAAACTGTACCTGTATCCTTAAAAAACAAAAAGATAACAGCCTTCACAAAGACCTCATTCACACCATACATGTAAAACATTATGATACCTCTTTAAATAGTCACGGCTTCCCTCAATGCACAGGGAACTCTGGGAATTGTAGCTCTGGGTCCTCCTAACAGCTCTCAGCACCTTCAACAAACTACAGCTCCCAGAATTTTTTAGGGAAAGCCATGACTGTTTAAAGCGGTATCATAGAGCTTTAAAGTATGGTGTGAATGTGATCAAAGTTTTCCCAGCTTAGGGTTTTTTTTTTACACCAGTTTTGTGCAGTAACTAAAGTCTGGCTGTTATGTAGAACAATAACAGCTGCATTAAACAGTTATTGTTTTAAAAGGAAGTCGTCCTCACCCTTGGTAACCCCCCTTTACAAGTATGACAGTGCAAAGTCTCAATGTGCAAGCTTGAGTGAAATTGCAGCATGAGTGCATCTCCTCTACAGGAACCTCGATGTCTGTAAAAACAGTAAGAAAAGGGGAAGGGAAGGGAGCAGAGGCAGGCTTTCTGCTTTCATGCACTGGTTCCAGGCTACCACTAAAACAGATGTTTGCCTGAAAAGGGTTGCACCTGCCAAGCCACCAACCTCAAGTTTCCTTCCTTTTTTTCTTTTTAAGGCTTCTGAAGCAGTGGGGGTGGCGCATTTGAGCAATGTGTAAAGCACTGGTTGTCGTTTTTGTATTTCCCCCAAGACACTAATCTCCTCAGAGCAAGAAATCAGAAAGGGAGTCTTCTGAGACACAAGAGAGTTGAAAAGAGAGGGAAATGTCTGTCAGTGGGTGCACAAGCCTTGCAGGAGAGAAGCTCATAGTACACTCCAAACAGGGCTGTTCCTCAGCATTTCCTGAAGGGTCATGTTGATGCCTGTTACCGGGCCAAAATATTTGCTTATGCGAGATTTTGATCCTTTATTTTTAAAATTTATATCCCCACCACCACCAATCTTCCCAAAGGAGCCCCTGGAGGCAAGCAACTAGTGATAGAACGGTAAAAACACTTTTAACGGCATCTTTAAAAACAATTCCAGTACAGCTGCAGACTTGGAAAGATCTCAACTTAAACAACTTGTTGAAAAGAGGAAGATATTGCCCAAAAGACGACACCTGTCTAATATTCAAGCGAGGGCATTCAAGGGGAGAGAATTCTATAGAGCACTTCCTCAGGCAGGCAGGATGGAAAACAACCATCAATTAGGACAGCAAGGACAATGTACAAAAGCAGGTGGAACTGGGTTGCGCTGGTCATTGTGCTGCAGGGGGTGCCACAGCAATGCTGTGGACAGAATGCAGCATGAGAGGCAGGGGGTGCCAAATTTTAGCATCTCGCAGGGCACCACTGAAATTTAAGAGTCCAAAGTCTGCCACTGCTCCAAATTTTGTGAGACAACATCTCCCAACGTTCCTGACCATTGGTTGTGCTAGGTGGCAGAGACTGATGATGGGAACTAGAGTCCCACATTGGGAGCGAGGGTACCACTAAAGTGAATTTTGGGGTATCATTAGGTAAGAGCCTTTAATTATGAATACAGTGGTACCTCGGGTTAAGAACTTAATTCATTCTGGAGGTCCGTTCTTAACCTGAAACTTCTTAACCTGAGGTACCACTTTAGCTAATGGGGCCTCCCGCTGCCACAGCACGATTTCTGTTCTCATCCTGAAGCAAAGTTCTTAACCCAAGGTACTAATCTGGGTTAGCAGAGTCTGTACCCTGAAGCATCTGTAGCCCAAGGTACCACTGTACACTCAATGCATTAACCAGCAGGTGGATAGAAACAGCTGTAACCATCACAAACCAAAGGGCCCTGGTTAAACAGCATCATATCGCTGTAACCAGTCATGGACCAGAACTACAATTCCCAGA